GGGGGGGGGGGGGGTATCATTGACGTTGCAAAAACAAAGCACTCAGCTCCAGCCGGTGCTAGCGGTGGACCGATGGGTGAAGCCGGAGCCGATGGGAATCTTGGGTGGCAACGGCGGTGGGGCTGCAGCCGCACCCGCCTTGCTATCGTCGCCATCGTCGTCGTCGTAGAGCGAGTTGTACTTGGGCCTCCACTGGTCTGCGCTGCTGTGGTAGGTTCCGTTTGTGCTGTTGCGGAACGTGCTGCTGATTGTTGCTGGGGCGCCGTTTGTCGACGAGGATGATTCGGATGGTTTGACCGCGCTTCCGTTGGCAGCTGTACCGTTGGTCGCGGACGACGATCCCGCCATGGACGCCTGCGTAGCGAGGTTGTGCTCCATCGCATCCCTCGCAGCGTAGTACGCGGCCAATTGGGCTTTCTCCCCCACCGCTGGCCCCGCTCCACCTGCCGTCCCCGTCGAAGTTGTCGCCGCCACGGCCGACGATGCCGCAGCAGACCGCGCCTGCGCCCTCGCCGTCTTCTTCGCATAGTGCGACGCCAACCGCTCCTTCTCCTCGGCACTCTGCTGCTCGGCCTCGGTGAGGTACGACTGGGCGAAGAACGCTGGACGCGGGGTGGAGCTCGCCGGTGGCGTGGGGACCGTATCTGCCGGCTGATGCGGCGTGGCGTGGTGCACGGCCGACGCCACTTCGGGCGTGTGTACGGGTGGCGTCTGCGCAGAGAGGCGTGCGTTGACCGCCGACTGCGCTTCGTAGTATCGGCGCAGCTGCTCTTTTTCGCTCACCGCGGCGGTGGTGGTGGCGGGGGGGACGATGGACGATGATGGACCCGCTGCCGAGGAGGAGCCGCTCGCAACGACTGTTGTGGCCTTCGGGAAGGCCCCGGGGATGTCCGAATTGCCGTTGCTCAGCGACGCCGCCTGCTGATGCATTGAGACGGGCTGTGCGGCGCTGCTGGGCCCAGAGATGGTGGCGGAAGACCCCTCGCCTCGCTGATACGCATCCGCTTCGGCTTTGGCCCGCTCGTACAGCTGCCGCTTCTCTTCTTCCGCCGTCATGTACGACGGATAGGGCGCAGCGCGGCCGGAAACCATCGGGTTCTGGGCCGTGCTTTGGACTGGCTGTGGCGGCGCGCTAGGGCCGGCTGCGCTTGAGCTGCCGGCACCGCCGCTGGAGGACCCGAAAGCGCTACCGTCCGTGTAGGAGCTCTGATATTGCTCGGCTTCGGCACGGGCGCGTTCGAAGAGTCGCATCTTTTCCTGCTCTGCCGTGAGTGGCGTTGGCGCGGCTGAGGGAGTTGCACTGGACGATGCGATGTTGGACATGCTGAAGGGTCGATCTCTGTCGGCAGCGGCGAGGGGAGAGGCGACGCGGACCGGGCTTGCTACGCCCTGGTGAAGCGCACGACGCTCGTCAGCGCGGCGCTGATTTCGTTCCGCCTGCTGTCGGGCTCGCTCGTACAGCTGCTGCTTCTCAGCTTCCGCGGAGGTCATGGCGCCGTTCAACTCGGAGCCTGAGCTGCCGCGAGCAGCCGCTGGACCCGGCTGCAACTGCGAAGGAATCGATTGATGGACCGGCTCGGGTCGCACAATCCGAGTGGTGCCGATCTCCGGCGTCATCGGTCCGCGTGAAGGCGCCTGCTCGGCGAAAGGACTCCGCCCGTCGACCGGGGACGCCGTGTATCGATTCCCTGCAGGGGCAGCGCCACCCAAGGAGTAGCGCGCGGTCGGCGCAGGATGGAAGTCAGATGAAGGCGCAGTGTTGGGGAGGTGCGAGTGGCGTCTCATGTCCATCTGCCCTTGATGTCCGTGCTGAGCGTACGGAGCGAAGCTCGAATTGGCGTGACCGTCTTCGCTTCCCTCCACGATGGGCGTGACCGCTCCGCTGTGTCCGTGATAGGACGAAGTTGGCACGAGGACCGGGTCGACGACAGCGTTCAAGACCATGCCGCTCTGAGGACGGTTGGTGGAATGGAACATGGCACGGGACTCTTCAGGTTGCATCTCACCGCCGTCGTAGATGCTCGGTGGCCCTGCGAACGCCAGACGAGGTCCTTCGCCGCCACCGCCGAACGGCTGTGCAGAGCCATACTGGCCCCAAGAGAAGACTTGGCCAGGCACGCCTCGGCCTGCCATGCCCGGTCCGCTGATGGCCGTGCCTTGCGTCATGACCGTGTCGCGTCGGCGCAGGTCGCCGCCCGCATATCCAGGGTAGCTGCTCCTGCTCCCGGAGTAGGTTGAGTCTGCGAACGACATGGAGCGTGAGATGGTTGGTTGCTGCGTTGACGTCGGGCGGGAAGGAGGCATCTCGACGTAATCGCTGGCGTAGGTGTCGGTGGTCAGAGATTCTCCTGGGGCGGACAGGCCAGGCACCCATCCAATGCGGGCCATGAGAGCGTCACTGGCCGTCTTTGTGAAATTGGACACGATGATGGGCAGGTGATCAATGATGATAGGCTTCTTGGCGGTCTCGACTTGCACGCGCAAGGTGTACGAGACTTCGATATGCTTCGCCGTCTGAATGGTCATGAGGGTGTGATTGCGTGGGATCTGGCAGGCGAGGTCAAAGGTGTGCGTGTCGCCCTTGTAGACCTTCTTGCCGAGGCTCTTACTTTTGGTGGACAATGTCTCGACCTTCTGCGATGCTGCCTTGCTGGAACTGAAAGCCTTCTTGGCGCCACCTTTGAAGGTGATTGTTTCGCGTATCGAGAACGAGATGCTCTTGACCTTGATCGGAGAGACACGGTCCGAGGTAAGGATGATACGAACATCAACGTTGTCGCCAGGACCGAAGCAAGTACGATCGCGCATCACCTTGACCCTGATATCGTCTTGAATGGCTTCGTGGTCCTCCGTTGTCGCATAGACGGGCCATGTCGAATGCAGCTCGTGCTTGTCGAGCCAAAGAGGATGCGTGTTTTGGATGATGGAGCTGGTGGTCTCTTTTTTGAGCAGGCCTTTCTTGCTTCGAACACAGAGCGATGTGACGAGCTCATAGCCGACGCCGGCGTTCTTCTCGAGTTTGGCGCTCGGAGGAAGTCCCTCTGGGATCGAAATCTGGAAGGGAAAGTCGGCAGTCTGGAGCAGCTCCCAACCCTTCTCCGACTCTGCTTTGTGCGCATCCTCCTTGTTGGCTGCCCACACATCGATCGGGCCTCTACCAATCAGCTCGCCCCAGCTTTCGCCTCCCGGTAGCGTTTCGAGCTTGCGCAATTCGATACGAAGCCATGCTGCCTTGAGACCCTTGGTGCCGAGACGGACTTCAACGGTGCCAGCAACGTGAGCGGGAGGGCGGCCGTTGGCGCCGACGATACCGGGGTAGCCCTGGATAAATTCGCGATGCGGCGGTGGCCGGAGAATGAGCTTCGGTTGGGACATGGCTGGCCTTCTGTGGCCGCGGCGGCCGTTTGTGATGTAGATTGAACAGCGACGGTCGAGATGCGTAGACTAGTTCGGTCGGACTCGAAGAGCGAGTTCGGATCTGAGGTTGGGGACGACGGTGCTAGATACCTTCAATCGCAAAGGCCCCCGACATGTTCCTTGCTGCGAGTTGCAAAGGAAGAAGAGTGGATGGAAGAAAGGGTGCTTGGTTGTTTCTCGAGGAGAGACCTGGACAGCTCAAAATGTGGAGATTTGGGTGAGGCGCGGAGCGGATGCGAAACAGCCGAGCCACTGCTTTTTTTTGGACCCCTGACGTCGCGGTCCAAGCTGTGCAAGTTCAGAAATATCAGCCGAGGAGGACCAGGTGACGGTGCTGGACCCTGAAATCGTGAATCCGATGCAGAGCAGGCGTTTGCGTGACAACCAAGCTTGAAGCAACGAAAACGTTCGCAAACACAGCCTCAGCGGGCCATCTTCGACAACGGCGTCCCATCGACATGTCCGAGCATCACAGCGCTTACAATTTTCAGTCACAATCACATCGAGAAAGGTGCGAGTATCACATTGGCAGTCTATCAGAGAGTCCGTGATGCAGCCAGCTGCGAGGTCCACCATTTCGCGCATCGAACGACAGGCGCCCGCGACACTTCATTCCCATCCCTCGACGTCACGATAGTCCAGACTCCTTTCCAAACGATCATTGTCGGCCATGAGCTGGGTGATGAGAAAGTCGGCAAAGTCAACCTTGGTCCAGTAGCTCATGTGCGCCGTCATGAGCTCTGCATACTGGTTGATCGAGCTCAGCAGGCTGTATCCTTCCACTGGCATGTAATAATCGATCCGATGGAGCGGGTTGAGGGCTCGCAGCCTGGCTTCCGCTCTCGCCTTGCGCTTGTCGCTGATGCCCTTCTTCCTGTCTTCGTCGGCGATGCGGTCGCGCTCCACTTTGCGCTTCTCTTCCTCGCGCGCTTTGGCGGCAATCTTGGAGCGAAGGTCTTCGACTTGACGCGATCCTTTGCTTTCGTCCGTATCCGAAACGTCCATACTGGACCGAGGGACGCTCTCGTCGCCAGTCTGGTCGCCATCGCCTTCGGCAGCCGCCTTTGCGATGGAATTCGCTGCTAGTCGTGCTTGATTCACGGTCTTGGCTGCTTCGCCCGCCTTCTTGCTCCAAGACCCAAAGAAGCCCTTGGTCCGTTTGGCAGCTGCCGCTTTGCGCTTGGCGATGCCGGAGTCCGAGTCTCCTTCTCTACCCGACCCAAACGACTGCGATCCGCCATCTTCGGCGATGTCGTGGTTGTCTGCTTCCGCATCGGCTCGGAGAACACTGCGAATGGCTTTGTTGAGCGGCACGGGCTTGAGCAGCTTTGCGTACTGCACATCGACGCATGGAGTAGCCCGCGTCGCCACCGGATCGTACTGGTTCCAGATATTGTAGAACTGGGTGACAGCAAGACAGCCATACTGACCTGCTTGATCCAGTGTCACGCCGGGCTTGTCTTGTACGAAGCGACTTGAGCGGACACGACCACTACGAGCGATGAGCTGCGCACGATGCAGAACGAAGAAGAGGGCTATGGGAGCGCCCACCGCGAAGAAGCTGTGCGTGTTGAACAAGAGATGCTGATTCGCTGCTTCTTGGACTTGTTGACGGCTCAGATCTTTAACGAGGGGTACGTTGTTCGGCTGCTGAGACAGCAGATCCGACGAGATGACGGTGCCGAGACTGTGGGCGACGATGTGGACTCGGCCTTTCTTGGCCTCAAAGTCAGGATTGCGCTTGACGAACAGGCGGTACTGTCGATTGGCCTCGAGCGTCGCCGATCGGATGACGTGCGCCTTGTGCTGCGACAAGTACATGGGGATGTCCATCAAGACATCCTTGACCAGTGTACGAACGATCGGAATGCCGTCGTCTCCAAAGATGTGCTCCATCTCGAGCTCGACGCCGTTGTCGTACATCATCGAGTCTTGATCCTCGGCATCCGAGTTGTGATCTGCCCATTTCTCGTCGTCTTCTTCCATCCGATGGAAGCCAGTCTGCCAAAGTACGGGTAGAATCTGAACGCGACGTTTGGCGGCCAGTCCTTTCAGACCGCGACCGCCAATCTCGCTGGGGGTCTTAGACGTGTCGATCCGAGTCTGCAGAAGGACGCGGAAGGTGTTGATGGCGAGCGTGAAATCGAAGCTCTTCCATCCTTCACCGGCCAGTCTCTGTCCGATCCCATGGATAGCGAGCAAAAGCTCGGGCGGTCGTTCGCTTTCCGCTTTCGCTTCGACTCGTTCTTGCTCCTCGTCAAAAGCATCCGGGTCGTCCCAGTCGACTTCGTTCCGATCTGCTCGGACGTCTTCGTCTTGGTTCTCTCGGGCTGTATCGGTAGAAACACGTGCTGCTTCCGATGTCGGCGCCGGTAGATCGCCTTGCACTCTGCGCTGGGCTTCCTTGAACGATTCGCGAATGTTGTCCTCTAGAGACGGCGTCACTGATCCGGGCTCCTTTTGCGAGTCAGAAGCGAGGGTGTTGTCCGTCGACGAAGAAGAGGCATCGTCGCCATTCCAGACGCCAAGCCTAGATGCAACCGAGCGCAGCAGCTCGTTGGCAGGCGCCGAACGAGACGCTACTCCTCCGGCTGCCATGACCGACAGAGTTCGTAAAGTGGCTTTTGCTCCAGCATTGGGCGGTGTAGCTTGAATGTGGGTCTTGTCGATGTTCAAGGAGGGTTGCGAGGGGCTTGCACTCAGAACCTGGAGCTCGTTGTTGCTGTCTGTGGTAATCAATCCCTCTTTATCACGTTGCTCGTCCGAAATTTTGACGTCGGTGATCTCGGCATCGTCAACGACGACTGGGTCGCCGTGGTCGCCGTCTTGCAGCGCCTCTGCTAGCTTGCTCTCAAGTTCTGCGGCGCCTCCGTCAGCATCTTGAGTTGCAGGCGCCTGCTTCTCGGACGAGAACGACTGTCTCTGAGCTTTGGAACGCCGTGAAGCTGCTTTGGAAGCCGAGTTGTCGCGCTTGGCTTCGGTGAGCTGCGCTTGTGTCTGATATCCACGGATGAGAAGCTGACCTCCGCTGTGCTCGCCAGTCCAAGCGGTGAAGAATTGCTTGGACAGGCGATTGGAGAAGCTTTCTTGATAGAGACGAGCGAGTCGTGGGCCCTGGAAGATGACGTAGCTGTTTTTGAGCGTCTTGAGGTCGCACTTCAGCTTGGCCTCGGCCTCAGCACCAAGAGAGACAGAAGACTTGAGCTCGTCGGTGTAGGAAGAGAGCCATGGTCGCAGTGTCTGGAAGTGGGATTCAAGCTCGGCCGCAAGAGCTGTCGAGCAGGGTGAGAGCTTGTTGGACTCGAAGAACCAGCTGGCGCGTGTTATGCGCAGGGAAGGTCCTTTCCAGAATGCGGGGCGAATCTGAAACTTGCTGATGTCGGCATCATAGAGTCGATCGACCCCCACAGCAACCCTGTGAGCAACGCTCTCCGCGTCAGGATCTGTTGGCTCCCAGTCGTCTATGGAATCCTTGACCTCTCCGGCTTTGACCTTGCCATCCGACTCTGGAAGCTGGGGTAGCTCGACATTGCCACCATTCTGTTCGGTCCAATTCTTCCAGGCAGCTTCGAGAATGCGGCTGTCTTTGACCAAGAAGGATTCCCATCCTTTGCCAGAGTCTTGGGAGCGCAGCCATCGGGTGTGCAAAATGGGCCCTTCGTCATCTATGTCCGCGTCAGGAGCATCTTCACTTTCCGCCTCGTCGATGCCGTCGATCGAACGGCTTAGCTGCTCTGTGTCCGTGGACGATTGCGCTGACGGCTGCTTATCGGTAGATGGCTTGCGTTTATAGCTGGATCGACTTCTTCTGACGAACGGCTGTGAGGCTTGACGGATGAACTCCGCCCTGCGTTCCTTTGATCGCTGTGCGGAGGAGCCAGAGGCCTTAGCCTGATCCTCGTCGGCGGTACTGTGAGCGACGTCGGCCTCGATTTCTGTCATCTTGCGCTATGTCCCAGATATAGGTCTGCGATGTATTTTTGCTGCGCTCGAAGCTTGTCGGTTCTTGCCGAGAGCTTGTCGGAATCAGATGTGACGAGCAGTCAGACGAGAATGAGGAGAAAGGAGGAGGATGTCTAGAGGAGAGGAGAGGAGGACAGAGTCGGCTTGGCTCTCTAGCCATGCATCCAGCCTGCATCCCTCCACCTGCAGCCATACCAGTGTGAAAGCAGAGAGGCAGCCTGCCCGCCTCTTCCCATAGCGTTGGTAGAGCCGACGACCCTTTTTTTCTATTTTGGACCCTGAACTCTCAGAGCTGTCGGGCCAACCGATGGTGGCAGGCGAAAGTCCCTTCTCCACCATCACAACTTTGGCAGGATGCAGACAGCATCGGTTTCAAGTCGCTGTCTGCTTGCTGCTGTCAATGTCCAAATACGCCGAGGCCGATGACTCATCCGCAACGGAGCAACCGTGACAATGCTGAGCTCGTAGAAGCCGTTCTGGCTCAGCTGTCACAACCGGTTGTTGAATCTGCTACCCAAGCCGAGCAGACAGGTTTCGCTGCTCTCGCTGCGCAGCGGCAGATACGAGAACACGCAGCAGCTGCGCGATCCATCGAGGACTCGGAAGGTTCCGAAGATGATCTCAGCTCGATCCTCTCCGCACTCACGGCGTTGACACGCTTATGTGATCTCAAATTCGTTACTTTCAGCTACAGCAGCATTCCACCCGTCTGGAGAGCTGTCTACATCGATGCGCAGCTCATCAAGGCATGCTGCGCACTCAAGGACCACGTCGGGACCCATTCCGAGCATGCAGCCTTGCTTAAGAGACGCGTGCGTGACTTGGACTTGGCTCTGATCACGGCTGGCGCCGCTTCCACAAGCAGAGCAAAGCACTGTTACGATCTCATCCTTGCGCTGCAGGCCAAGCTACTCGAGATGGAGCCGTATGATTCATCGCAGCCGTCACAGCGCTCCGAGGATCATGTACCGCCACAGAAGCGTATCAAAACAGCGCAGCGCCAGGCGACAAGGCCGCAGCCCTCTCCATCGACTCAGGCCGATTCGCTCATTCGCGAGTTTGCATTCGAAGAGGCGCCATCCTTCACGGACCTAGCAGAGCAGAATGCGTCTGTCTGTCTCGGACCGTTCATCGTCAGGAAGTACGCCCAGAACATCGGCTGGTCAGCGCTCAAGACGGGCACTGATGAGTCTGTGCCCGGCTCGTGGTCCTCGATGGAGTATCTCCTTCAAGTCGCAGGTCCAGCTAGAATTGTACCCGTCGAGGTCGGAGCCAACTACACGCGCAAAGAATGGGGCCAAGACATCATGCTCTGGAGCGACTTTCTTCGTCACTGTCGCTGGGACGAATCTGACGAGCTCGATAATGACGGGGCTGACCATAGTGACGAAGAGCTTCGGTCGGACCCACTGCTGCTTTACATGGCACAGCATGATCTCTCAAGTCAATTCCCACGTCTCGAGCAGGATTACACCCTTCCCGACTACGTCTACACATCGCCGCCTGCTCCCAAGGACTGGCCAGATTACGAGCCTCCTTCGACGGCTGCAGCAGTCGTGACCAACCTTTGGATCGGCCCAGCGGGTACTGTGTCTCCCCCGCATTTCGATCCTTACTACAACTGCTTTGTGCAGGCAGTGGGATTCAAAGAGGTCTGGGTTGCACCTCCGCAATGCCGTCCGTGCCAGACGACAATCTCTGTTGATCATCCAACTCCTGCGAATCATCAGGCACATGCGGCTGCAATTGGAGAGTTCAGCCAGACAGCAGTGTCCATCGCAGGTTCTCTGATGACCAACACAGCAAGCGTTGATGTCTTCGATACGCTTCATCGGGCGCCACAACACGTCAGGAGTGCGGCAAGCAAAGCGGTTCTGGGTCCAGGCGATCTCCTCTACATGCCGCCAGGCTGGTGGCATTCTTTGCGCAGCTTGGCACGGAGCTTTTCCGTCTCGATTTGGTTCTAGCTGGAGCCCTTCGGGTTCCTGTCGACCTTGCTCTGCGGTGAGCGCGGCGCCATCAGTAAGGTGGAATGCCGCCAAGACGGCCTTTACCTAGGAGCCACGTGCGTCGGCGTCTATCTGGATCGATGAACGGTTTTCTGCAGCATAAGGTCTAGCCCGGCCAGCTTTCACACACAAAATAGAGTGAAATCAGTTGAAGTTGCGATCGAAGACGCCATCCAATGGCACACGCCACACCGTGATGCATGCTGCGAGCGACAACGAACCGCTTTGTTCCACATCAGATCAACATCTCCGGATCTGCATGCAGAAAGACGCCGCAGATCTTCGACCAACAGCTAGGGCCCAAGAGAACTCCTTTCACGCAGCAGAAGCTCTTTCTCATGGGCTGTTTCAGGACCTCGCGATAACGGCAAATGTCTCGCTTCGACCAGGAACGTTTGGTCGAGACGGATAACGGAAAATCCCATCAGCGTACCGACAGTGGAACAAAAAGCACCTTCTTAGCGCAAGGTACCACGATCGAAAAACATTCAAGTCTCACCGAGAGGCGACGAACGGTGGGAGGCGCGACATCGTTTGCACTTTGAAACGGAGGCTAAGGGTGGACATCTACCGCCAGATCGACGATGATGCACGAAACGTCTTGTTGATTCGGCGAAACACTATGAGGTACAGATCCACTAGTGGTCTAATGCAAACATCACACTGATTTCGACCCTGGAGCAGACCCAGTCTGGCGACGTGGGGAACCGAGACTTGTCTGACCGCTACCGAGACCACGGTTCGCCTGCTGTAGTCCACCCCTTTTTTGGCGACGAACCCTCTCTCTCTTTCACCATCGGCGAATCTGTATCTCCGCCAACCGCAAATCTCCTCTCTATCAGCCGTCTCTCCCGGTGCGATGGACGTACCGCAGTCAGCACCGCCGCTACGGTCGAATGCACTCGTCCAGTGGGTCTGAAGTCGGTGCGAAGACTACGTGCACAAGCATCGCCGGGTCGGGCAGAAAATAAGGCGAGCCTGCCGCATTATGACGGCGAGATTGCAACTCCGACTGCAGCACCTTTCCGAGATGTCCTGTCAGAATTAGGCTTGTGCTCAGCCCAGACGTAAGCAGTGAAGACTTGCATTGCATGGTCAAGCCGCAAATGACGGATGGACCTCGTCGGACGTCATTCTGGGACTCGTCTTCTCGCAGCGGAGTCGGTATGCTCGACATCACATGCTGTCTCAGCCTGGACTGAGCCGCTCAAACTGTACCGCTTTCTGGCCGCGATTGCAAATTACCCACCCTTTTCGCAACGTGCGACGACGGCCTTAGGTAGGTGAGGCTGATAGATGCGGCTGTACGATAGCGCAGTCGTCTATCGACAATTGAACCTGGTCGTCATCCAGTCGCAACAGGTCAAGCCACTTGACCACTCACAGCATCGCACAAACTCGTCTTGACCACGAAATGGTCTCGCGTGGAATCCTTTCTTCTCACGACAATGCAGAGGGACAGTGATGAACGGCTCCGAGCCCCATTGGCTTCGATGCCAAGGACAGCGTTTGCGGCCTTTGAGTACCCGAAGGTAGGCGCTTAGCTTCGGAGCATCTTCGATGGTAGATGGCCCTACGGTATGCCGCTTTATCCAGCCACTGGCGGCGGAGTCTGAAGTTTGGACCCTAGCGTGACGTATGGTGTGCGTGCCGCGACGGGAGAATATCACAAGCATGCGGGCATACAGATAGAGCGATTTTTCCAAGACACCGGAGACGACGCTTCTTGTTGCGGTGATGGCCGGCACGATCATGACCAAGCATTCGGTTGGCCAGCCGATGCTCATTTGATTCAGGCGGCACGGATCGCTGCGCGAAACGGCGTCGAGACTGCAAAGCCACACCTGGAGTCTGCTTGCAGTTTCGCCTTGGTCTTTGTAGCCGAGTGATGCCAAATAAACGATACGAACTTGTCTCAGGGCGTGCTCGCATCGGTATACGCGAGGAGAAGGTATATGCCAGGTGTCTTGCCCTCACCCTGACGATCCTCGACGGCATTCACCTGCCTCTTCTTCACTCATCACGCCAGCACGGTTCCCGGTGCGGTCACAGGCAGCTCAGATTCGAAATTTCCCCTCGAGAAAATTAAATGGCACACGCTCACACGTCCCGGATCGACAGATTCTCCGGCTTTGCTTCCACGAGCTCAAAGGCCACTCTACAAGGCGTTGGTCGGTGCCTAAGCTAAATCAGTTCGCTTTTCTTCGATTTTCGATATCGGTAGATTGGGACGCCCTCACCAGCAGAAGTGGTTGCATCTCGCCTGAAAGTAGATGCATATCAGAGTGGCGTCCGCTCGAACTCGAGATTCCGCTGTCGGTTGCAGATGGCCGCGTCGACTTGCTTGCCCCTGAGCCTAACTTTCGTACTGTAATCTTGACGCCTTACCCTGGCGTCACAGTGGTCGAGGAACAACAGGCATTCAAGCGACCACGACTTCCTCACCAACGAAGCGATTTTCTCGACATTGCCTCGCCTCCAAGCCCACCGACCGGTTCTCGGGAAGCCCAGTATGGATCAACGAACAAGCGAGGAATTGCAGCTCAATGGAACCGCTGTTCCCACATCGCGCCCGCTCGCAAAGCCCACCTCCATCGACGGTGCCAAGCAGCAAAGGTCGCCGGGTGCAACCAACCCACGCAGACCGCCGCACGCTGCAACGTGGTCCCAAATCAGCTGTTCTCGAAAGCAGCCTAGCCGATGCATACCCCTATCTATGGGGACGCGATCTGTAGGAGAAGCTTGAGAAGGGCGTTCAAGGAACACCGCTTTTGAAGGGAAGCTCTCAGGTCGCACTGAGTCACACTTGTACCATGATACGAGGTTTGGATTCAGCAGTACCGCACCTCGATGCATCTCGAACACGAGCGAGGGTGCGACACCATTGTTCTCGAACACTGCCGCCCGCAGCCTCGTAGTCGCATCAGCATCCCATTGCTGGTAAGCTACTTGCCAACGACGACGGCAGACAGCTGTGCATCGCAAGTCCGAGAGCACGAGACATGGTCACACTACTTGCGTGCAACGGCGAGCACAGCATTGCTCAATGTCTCGTCGAGGTTTCTAGGGCTCTGCAACCAGGGTGAGACCAGGCTGACGCGCATTTCATGTTCCCATGGCCCGGTCCCGGGCAAGGAGAGACGCAGGCGCATGGGAGCCAGCGACGTGAGACACATGAAAACCACGCACTCCTCCTTTGCTCTGCCGGCAGAGCAGGCAGAACAGCGTGCAACCAAAAAAAGAAACCACTTTATTGGCAATTTCGGCAAAAAGGACAGGGCGAAGTGGAACCAAGAAATTTTCGGTGCCTCGCAGCACACAATTTCGCGTGTTCCAGAACCCTGCCAGGCTCGACGTCGACGGGATGCAAGCCTGCTGCTGCATGCAAATCACTTCTGAGCAGAAAGCGAGACACTGAGGCCAGGAGCCACGTCAAAATTTCGCGTGATGCTGTTAAAAAAATGCAAATTTAAGATTACTCGAGGCGAGGTTCAGCCAGGCAGAGAGAGCGTTGCGAGGTTTGGGCTTGCGCCTCTTTTGCTCGGCCAACCCTCCTTCGATTTCCCTACCTTACGCCGCCGCGTGTGAGAACGGCGTAGGCGAGGCAGGGCCAGGGCATCGACGACTCGAGTCGGGGCCCTTTGTGTGGTTTGGCCTCCCACCCTGAGTTCGGCTCGCCTCGACTCGCCCTTTTCGCCTGTTTGTGTGTCTCAGATGATGGCCATCAGGCCGCTCCGGGTTGAGCTGCAAGAGGTGTGTCCGACGTTTGGAACCCCGCTCTGCGCGAGTGTATGAGCTGGGCGTTGTTCTCCCACACAGAGCGGGAAACCAACAGCGCGTCAGAGAGACAGAGACAGAGGGACACTCAGCAAGACCAAATAGGATAGGCGGCATTGTCGGTGACGGTGAGCCCCTTTTCATGCGATCCTTTGACAAATGGGCTCGCTTGGCAACGAGGGCTTGATGGTGCTCGCTCGCGCGCTCGCTCGCTACGATCGTAGAACCCTCGTCTAAGCAAGGCAACGACGCCGCCATCGTCGCGCTTCGACAATGCTGCTGCTGCTGTTGGTGATGCTGTGGGCTCTCGCTTCCATCTCGGTCCAGGACAACAAAAAAGGCTAATCATGATGCCTCGCTCGGTGCCATTGTGTCGCTTGCTCGGGTCGGCGCAGTGCCCTTCAAGTCTGTTCAAACTGGACCGAAGCGAAACAAAACGAAAACGAACCGTATGATGTAGGTCCTGTGTGTGTGGGTCTGTCTGCCTCTTCTCGCTCATGACCGGCCTTCAAAGTGTCGCTGTGCATGCTGCGCCCCGCTCGCGCTCCCTGCGAGTGCTGTGTGCCCCCTCCTCGGTGCTGCCCCTCGTCCCCTGGCCTGCTTCCGCACTCCGTCTGTCCGCCCGTCTGTTCCACCCTCGCTGACGGCACCTTTTCAAACTCAGAGCCCAGACCCACACGCCCTTGCCTGTCCCGGAGCGCCAAGTGAGCGTCGATCCCTCACGCTGAAGAATAGCCGCAAGCTCAACTCAGTGTGGCACACTCTCCCCCCGGCCGCTCGTCACCGCTTGGTCCTCTGCAGCGCCATCTGACTCTCCTCCTCCTCGCCACCTTCCTCCACCATCTCTCGCTCTTCTGCATACACCTACACATCATCCTCGGCATCTCCTATCGCCCTAGACCATCTCCAGCCGTAGCATCTCGGCACCTGCGGTCGTGTTTTTGATCGACCCAGCATCATCACCACCCTCGCGAAAGCACTTTCGCCTTACATCTCAACGCACCGCGCTCACGCAGCAGACATCGGCATCAGCATCAGGTTAGACTGCGTCTGTCAGCGTTCCAGCAGCATCTCGCAGTAATCACATCGTCGTGTAGACAACGAGAGCGGCATCTTAGCAACCCATCGGCTCCATCGCAACCTGAGCCCCACCCTGTCTATGGGCTCTTGCGTTCCACAGTAATCACGCAGAGGCGATCCGCATTGGCTGCCCTAGAGCCTCACGCCGATTCCTCACCTCGCCTCTCCTCGTCACTCTCTACGTGTCACCCCAGCATTGACTCATTATGGACGCTTCAGCCGACGATCCTCGCAGGTATAGCATCCGTCGTTCGCCATCTATCGGCTCGTCCGCTGCCCCTGTGACTTCAGGACCGCGGGCTGGGAAGCGCAAGCTCTCCACCACAGCCTTCGGATCCTCGTCGAGCATGGGTTCCCACGTCCCTTCGTCACCCGCCCCGATACCATCGGAGCTTCCGACAGAAGGCATTCAGAGCGCATCGCAGGTGGCCAGCACCTCCCGATCCACCATCGACAGCCCCGACGCCGGCTCAGACAAGCCACTCAGCAGCACTAATGCCCAGCCGGCTCAGTTCCCAGACTGGCAAGAGCAACGACGCTGCCATTCCATCCTCGCCGACTACGACTTTTTGCCGCCATCAGAGGATCGCCGCGATCCTCGTAGCTCCAACACTTGCCTGGTGATGCCGGTCTCTTCTCAGCAGCCCCAGGTCATGGTCGCCGGCGTAGTCCACGGCCTGCACGCCAACGTTGCCAGCGCCGCTCTGCAGGGCGACGCCGACACTTCCATGGTCGATGGCCCGGCATCACTGAGGGAGAGGCAAGCGACGGAGCCTCATCTCGTACAGTTGCAGAGCTCACTCTCGCAAACCAGCACTTCGGTGCCACAGAGTCCCCAACGAGGTGTTTCTCCTTCTCCCTCCCTCTCTGACTTTGACTACCAGGCACAGCAGTCCCATGTCCCGCAACGCTACTCGACACGCATTCGACAGCCGCGACCCAGCAGCGCCGATCAGAGTACCGTTGACAGTTTGGACAAGTCAACGCCCGACGTGCTGGCAGCCTCGGTGCAGCAGACGACCCCTTACTCGACGACGGCAGAATCTTCCGACAGCGCAGTCGGTTCGCTGTCGAGCCTTTCCTCCAGAGCAGCCTCACATCACTTGACAGAGGCCCAGCGGCAAGAGCCTCCTTCGCCGTCGATAGCCGAGCATGGGCCCGTTGCATCTAGAAGCTTCCACCTTCAGGCCGTACCTCCAGCTAAGCGCAGGCGTTTCGACGACGTCTCCCCCTCGAGTCTGCACCACAGCCGCCATGAGCTGCAGACAATCGACGAAACACGACGAAGCAGCGACGCTGGCATTGTCTTCCAGCAGACACAAGGTTACGCTCGCCTGGCCACTTCCGAGCTTCCGCATACCCTCGATGCCAGAGGTACTCTGCATATGGCGTCGTCCAAGGCAGAGGTTGTGAACACTCCGTCTCGAGTAGAGTCAAGTATCGCTGCCACCTCGGGTGCGGGCCCCGTTGCCCCAGCGTCTGACCTTCGAACTCACGCAGCCAAGGATCTTCCGGCGTCGAAGATGGGCCCGCTCGCTGGACACGACACACCCAGCAGTCATCGTGGTACCCACAAGGATAAGGCGCCCGCGGTCCCATCCATGGCCCTACCTCGCAAGCAGCACGTCGCCTTTCCGCGCAGGATGCCTCGCCTTGTCCGTGCCCAAAGTGTACCGAACTTGCGTGCCAAGGCGACGCTGGACATCACCGCTCCTTCGCATCATCGTCTCATCCTGCCCAGCCACTGGGCCGGCTATGTCTCTTCGCACGCGCGACAAGGTCGCGAGGCAGTCGATGGATCCTCGAAGGCGTCCCATTCGAGATCCTCAAAGGGGTTCCCGTTCAACGTCACACACTATCCTGTCGGCTCCAGCAGCTCGCGCTCTCGATCGACCTTTACGCCCACCTTGCATCCTCCCATCACCCGCCACACGCTGCGCGAACTGGACCTCTTCGAGATCCTCAAGAACCCTCAGCTTCGTCACGACGTCGTCTTCGACCCGAACGTCCAGTTCCGACCCAACTTTGACGGCGAGCGCGGACGGCGCAAGCGCGAGGCGGGCGAGAGGTATTGGACTGCGGTGGTGCGAGAGATCGAGACCGGTTGCACCTGCACTGCCTTCTCCCACGGCCAGCTCTTGCCCTGCACCTGCAAGGCGAAGGATCGCTTGCGCAAGATCGAGGCCAAAGGATCCCGAGTGTCTTCCTTGCAGCAGTCACACATCCCCTCGCGCATCCCTCTGTTGGTCCAGGAGCTTCGCACTATCTGTCTGTCCATCCTGCCGTCCAACTATCCCGCCGACACGGCCATTGCCGAGGTCGACGAAGCGGCATCGGCCTCTTCGACCGAAGAGCAAAAGACGGACCAACCCGTCGCCTCGGACGAAGCCAGCTCCTCGATGAAGAAGAAAGTGGCCGTCTCCACAGCCTCTGGTTCATCTTGGGCAACGACGCATCACCAGCTCATCGCTCAGACGCTAGATCCTCACCTGATCTCTCAAGAGTTGCAGCACGGCGTTCTTGATGTTCCTGCCCTCATCACCTTCATGGGATCCATCCTCAAGCTTCACTGTGCCCCCATGCGCGACGAAGCGATCGAGAGGATGGTAGAGGTGGTCTGCGTCGATCGCAACATCGGCAAGGGTCTGCGCCTCTGCTTCGAGATCCTCGAGCTCATGAAGCTCGACATTGCCAACCACCAGCTCCGATCCGCTCGCCCCTTCCTGGTCGAGACGGCGGTCGACTTCGAGATCCGTTGGTTCAAGGAGCAGATCGAGCAAGGCAAGATGTCGCTCGATCGCACCAACGCCTGGATGCAGCAGGCGCTCATTGCTTCGCGTCCGAGCGGCGACATTTCACGCAGCGAGGCTGTGATCAAGGCGTTCAACCACGGCATGCTTCAGCTCATCTTTGAAGTGCCAGGATCGCTCCCTTTGGTGTCGCCCGTAGCGACGCCCCTCGGCTCGCCCTCGTCGTCGTCACTGAACAACACGTTCGCCTCTCACTATCCTGAGACGTTCCAATTCGACGCCTACCGCATGATGACATTCCACAACGATGTCTCGGATCTGACGATTGTCTACATGCTCGTTCTGCTCTTCCGACAGCTCTGCAGTACACCGCTAGACAACCGCGGAGCTCTGCCAGCCTCTACGGGCAGTCTGGTTCAGAAGCAGCTCAAGACGATCAAGGGCGAGATCTGGTGTCTGGTCAACGACGCCAACTTGTGCCTGTCAAGCCCGGGCACTGCACCGACGACGCCGCCGGCTGCCAGTGCCACCAGCCGCGCTGCCGGTATGGACGGAAAGCTCTTCCTCGGCAGCGGTGGCGGGTTTGTCAAGCTCGATCACCCGCGTTGGCGCCGCGCGATGCAGAACGTGCTCCTCCAGGTCGCAGCGCGCGCTGCAGCGGTGCAGACGGCCGCCCGCGCCGGTTCTTCGGACCCAAGCACCGTCAAGACGGCCGCTCCGTCGGCGGCCACGCAGAAGGTGCTCAACTCGTGGATGGACACCAACCTGCGCAGCGGCTCGGCGCTGCACAAAATCTGCCAGAACCGTCTCCGCGACGTTGTCCTGGGCATGCTCGGCGACAAGGTTCGCGCCGGGTTGCAGTCCCCCTCGTCCACCGCTCTGCCGACCACCACTGCAGACAGCGAGGCTGACCGTCTCACCCAGAAGCGAGCCTCGCCCGTCGACACCCAGGACGAGTCAACGCCCTCGAAGAAGCCCAAGAGCGACGTGCCAGTTGCCGCCGAGGCCGTCGCCTCGCCCTGGGACGCAGCCATGTCGCGCGCCGGCCTCGAGCCATTCGCAGCCGAAATCCGCTTGCTGTCGGAACGCATCGCGAAAGTGGCCACCTTCCACCTGCGTGTCTTCCGCAACCTGTACGAAGGGATCCAGTCGGGCCGCCACAAATGTGTCGGCGGCACCCAGTGATCTCCTTCCTCTTAACGTCTTTCACGTTTGATCTGTGTGCATCCTCTCATTCTTTCTTTTTAATTGCATGCTCCTCTTCAGTATCATCTTGTCCGTGGATAGCAGTGCTCAAAGTGAACGTGCGAGTATTTTGTCCGTGTCAAAGCAGTGACAGCGATCAGCAAGCCCGTTCGGGCACTCCTCGCTGGTCACCGAGCACTTCAGCATGCAAGTTCACGCGGCTGCTTTTCGATCGTCGCTCGCAACTCACAGTGCGACTCAGACATCTCGACATCCACACTGAGCCTTTCCGCACTTGGATTGCTGTCTAAGGAATGTACAACCGGCTGAAGGCGGCGACGGGCGTCCTGCAAGTGGGGCACAGATGTGCGGCGTCCTCTCTCCCGCGGCCGCCAGCGCCGCGCCTCGCGGGCGGTCGCGATGCAAGGTGCTCCCGACAGTCCATGCAGAGACACAAACAGCGACAGGGCCAGCAGATGACGTTGCGCTCCTCGGTGCAGCACACCACGCACAGGCGGCGCGCGTCGTCGACGGTTCCAGTGGTGGTGGAGGTGGGGCGACGCGCGATGAGCGACTGCGCGAGATGGGTGTCTGCTGGATGGAGGAGGGATTTGTAGGCGCTGCGTGTGAGTGGTTGCAGGGATGGCCGCGTGAGATGAGCCAGCAGGAGGCGGTTGAATGGTTCGGTGCCGGAATGAAGCGTGAGTTGCGTTGAGGTGGAGTCGCTCGGCGGCGAGGTGAGTTCTTCGAGCAGTCCCGAGACCTCGTCGGGCTCGAGCGGGAGGGTTTCCACCTCGTCAGAGTCCGATCCGTCGTCGTCCGAGTCGTATGGGACCTGCTGCTGTGCCACGTCGATGTCGTAATCGACGTCGTCCTCGTCGCTGTCGTCGTTGACCGTCTGCTGTGCCACGGCGATGTTCGCGCCCGCATCGTTGAAGCGCGCCGGTTGAGGCACGGGTATTACATCCCTCCCTTGAGCCCCTGAATCCCACCTGTCCGATTCCTCGATCCCCTCGTCGCTCCCAAAGAACCTTGTCAGCCCTAGCAACGATCGCATCGAGGTACCCTCGACTCTCGCCTCCGCTTGCTCTGCCGACCGTCCTTGCTGCTGCTGCACCCTCCATCTCTCTCGCTGCTGTTGCTGTCGCTGTGCTTCTTCCGCTTGCCTCTCCCTTCTCCTCGCCTCTCCATTGCTACCGTGCCACACAAGCCTCACGATCCGCAACGCCCGGTACACCCACTGCGGCACACTCGGATCGGGTAGCCCCACGACGCTGAACATTTTGCGCACCGTCATGACCGTCACGCTCCTCGCCACCAACATCGTCACCACAGCAAAGTGCACCAATGCTCGTATCCTTGCGAGTCCAGCATGACCAAACGTCGACGAACTGCCGTGTGTTGGCTCGATACGGACGTGCTTGATCTCGCGGCTCAGCCCGCCAGCCTTCTCTTCACCCGCAGCCGAGTGATGTGTCTGTGTCGGGTCCACCACGCCAATCTTCCCGCTCTGACTGAGCTCGATGTAGGGCGCATCCCAGGCGACGAGCGGTTCCATCTCGCGCTCGAGGCCCGTCAGTCGCGTCGACTCCATGCAGGCCGTGCCGAGCTTGAAGAGCGCCAACGACCAGTCTTCGTCCATAGATGGCAGGTTGGAGCGCGAAAAGAGCAGACGGTTTGCCTCCACCCGGCCTTCGAGCAGCAGCATCGTCAGCGCATGCAGGGTGACGGTGAGTGCGACGACCAGCACAAGCGCAATCTCGGGCGTCCGGCTGAGCGCTTCCAAGAACGGATAGCGACCCGTGCTCGCCGCCAGCGCATAGTGAAGCAGAGAAGCGAGCCCGAAGACGCTCGATATCACCAAGCGCGGAGCCATCACAGGTCGTCGACACCGCGATACTGCAATGCTGAGAATCTGGAGCATCTGCAACAGGATGCACAGGTAGACGTGGTCGTTGGCCGGTGCATCGGGCGAAAAGGAGTGAAAGTGGAGAAGGAAGGCGAAGCCGACGAGGTTGAATGCGGGGGGTTCGTCACGATCGGCGTCGAGGTTGCGGACGATGGAGTCGCTGATGATGGCAACGCAGGTGGAGGTGAAGGCGGCCCAGAGGGCGGTTGCGTCTCGAGCGCGGAGGATGGCGTCCCTACTGCTCGAGCCGAAGCGATCTGAAGCCCAGCCAGACATGGACGTGTTGGCCAACCAGGCATTCCGCCATGCTGCCGTCGTGATCGCTCGCAGGAGGACGTTGATCGGATTGGATTCAGATAGGAAGGCGTCCGCGACCACAGTGGTGAGGATGAGCACCGACCGAGCTAGCAATACCAGACACGGCAATCGTAGGGCCACTCTCTGAAGCTGCGACAGCCGTGCAGACGCACCACCCCTCGGCCGGCATATGTGCTGTACGCGGTTGTTGACGATCGCAACGATCACAAGCGCAATGGTGTATCGGCTTGCGACAAAGCTCCACGGGCTGTCGGAGAAGCTGTCCCACACGTCGAGGTGCTCCAGCGAATCGTCCGCGTTGAAGCCCGAGCTGCTCATCCCCCCATTCGATTCGCTAAAGCTGGTGAGTGCAGAAGAGTCGTCCAGGGGCGGAAATACAAAGTCGTAGGCGAACCGTAATGGGGCACCTGCAGTGCCCGTGAGCCAGTCCGTGGCTTGATGTACGGCGTCCGAGATGAGGCGCGGCATGATGGCCCCAACGCGCTTCGGGCCCGCCTCTGTGCTGCCCGCGGATGAAGTGCGAGCGGGTGGGTCTGTGTTCGCGGGTGAGCGTGGGTGGGTACGAAGCTTGCACATGCTTTCACGATCATGCATGCATCTGCCGGCTTGGGCACCGATTTCCGAGCTCGCCGACGTGGAGGTGCAGGACAGTTTCTCACTCTAACACGTCGGCGGATTTTCTTGCATAGCAAAGCTCACGTTCGTCATGGTTGCAAGCAAGGTCTTGGTCTGCAGACTGACGGCGAAAGACACTCTCGACCTCGAATGCCTTCACACCGATCAGCGAGGGTACGTCTCCAGAGCAAAACAAGATGGGTATTTCGACGAGACAATGACAGTGAATAAGACAGGCTTTTGAGAGTGCGAGAGATGTGCGTGGCAAGAATACGAAAATGTGAGCAGGAGCGGGGTGGAAGTGTCCATGGGTAAAAGTTAACAATGCTGTCCGAGGAGAGAGAGGGAGAAAGACATTTCAACGCAGCTCGTCGTTCTGCAGCAGAGGTGCTGCCGACGAGGGTCGCGTGCTATCGCGATTTTGGTAATGAGAGCTGAAGCCGGATTCGGAGGGCGGCATGTCGTGCGTCGCTTGGGTGTACTGGACGCTCTGCTCGTCCAGCTCGTGGTTCGATGCTGACTGCTCCTGGCTTTTAGCGGCAGACGCTTCGAGGAACGCCTTGCGCTCTTCCGGTGTGAGAGAGGCGAGGTAGGCGTTCTTGACTTGACGAGCGTCGACGTAGCCCGTGGAGGAGACGTCCCAGCTCAACAGGCCTGCGGCGTGGAGGTTCTGCGGGTTGATGGCCGGGGTCTCCTCGCCCCACTGCGGGTCAGCGCCGCGGCCAACGTCGTCGTCGTGCAGCTCATCGTCAAAGACACCGTGGATGTGGTGCACCTGACGCGCCTTGGCGCGCTGCGCGGGCGAAAGAACGACCTGGCTGCTGCTGTCGTCATCCTTGCCAAGCAGCTCCATGGGCACGTTGACACCGTCGATCTTGACGCCGCTGTACGGGTTGCTCTGCTTCTTGGCGTGACCGTTGCTGCTGCCAGAGCCAGGGCCGGCAAATCCACTGCCGCGCGACTTTTCGCCTTGTGCAAGCAGCGCAGCGCGAGCAGCTGCAATGCGACGACGCCTCCTGCGCAGACGCCAGAGCGCAACACCGAATAGAACACCAATGACAGCAATGGCAGAAACACAGCCAATGACAACCTTGATACCCTCCGAGAGACCCTTGCTGTTGCCGGACCCGGAGTTGTGGCCGCCGTGCAGGCCCGACTGACCGAGCGTCTGCTTCTTCACTCGCACTGCGGTGAACTGCTGCGTCGCAGTGGTCATGTTGACGAGCGGACGCAGACCGACTGAGGCCTGGCATGGGCTGCTGGTGGTCATGTTGGCGGCCAGTGCTGCAGTGGCGTTGAGTCCGCCGTCGCACGAAAAGACAGTGTAGGCGCTTCGCATGAAGGCGGGCGAGAGCACAAAGTCGGCTGGCAGGAAGCTGGCGTTGAGGTTGGCGCCATTGGATGCACTCGAGAGCGAACGAAGTGCCTGGAACGAGCCAAGGCACACGGAGCCGTCGCCAGAGGGGCCGTTGCCCGAACCGGTGGTGAGACTGGCATCGAGCGGGTGAATGGGGATGCGAATGCCGCCGAGTCCGAGGGTAATGTTGAGCTGAAGGTCGCAGGGTACGTAGTAGCCGCCATCGGAAGCGGGACCGATGCCCCAAGCACCATACATCGCATCGAGGGTGCTTTCGGGACCCAGGTTGACGCTGGCGCCCGAGTCGAAGACGGCGATGGGATTGGAGCCGGATATCACGCTCGACATGCCGATAGGGATGGGCTCCGAAATACCGTGCTGCATGAGGACTGAGATCTCGGTGAGAGGAACACGCCAGTGTCGTACTACCCCGTCTGCGTCGCCGATGGCGCTGGTGAAGTTGATGTTGGGGTCGGTGCTGCCCGCGTAGGCAGGGTCGTGGTTGCCAACGGTCAAGACGCTGTCGCCAGAGCCACCGTCCTCCTCGAGACGCTGCAGACCGATGCCCATGAACCTACGGCCAGGACGAGCATTGTACCAGAATCCAGCGAGGACGGCACCGGTCTCGGGTGGACGGACGTTGACGTTGAGATAGGCGGTGTTACTCGTGGCGTTGAGGTCGGCCTGGATCAGACTATTGGCAGGAGGGCCGACTCCGATGATACCCGAGAAGTTGCCCGAATCCATATCCTCATTGGAGACCTGGTTGCACGAGCCAAATGCCTGCGAATTGATGGTGAGTCGGGTTGTGGATGGGTCGCCAAAGAGCATGGATGCGGTCTTGACTTGGCCTTCCGCAGATCCGAGAAGATAGCTGATGTTGAATGGGGTATCTTGGTCGACGACCGAGTCGGAACGGTCGTTGAATTTGGTGACGGACAGGCCTTGGTGACCGCGGCAAGAATCGTCATCGCAGTCCTGATTCGCGAGCCAGAGATCACCGCTGCCAGTGTCGAGTTGGGCGTTGAGCTGCTGATTTGCGATGGTGAGCGGGACATTGTAGGTGAGCTGGCCATTGGCGAATCCTCGCCCTAGCACGATGCGTGTGCTGTTGAGCGAGCCTGCGGCGGGTGAGCCCATGCCACTATTGGGGATGCCGCTTCCGCTGGAGCCGGACGAGCCCGTTGATGATGGAGATGCCGAGGTGGAAGATGAAGAGGAGGAGGACGCCGTGCTGGCGGATGCCGAGGACGAGGGCGAGGAAGAAGAGGCTGATGTCGATGACGAAGACGATGATGAAGAAGCTTGACGCGGGTAGAGCATGCGGTCGTCATATGCATCTGCTGCTGGCGAGCGCACTCGCAGCGAGCTGGATGTGCCGGTGATTCTCATCGTGATGAAAAGTAGCAGCAGCTTATGACGGCCACAGCGTATGCGAAAAGGTTGGCGGTGTCACAAGGCAGCGACAAGGGTGGTCATGCAAAATCGTGAATGAGTTGGTGGGAGCTGAACCTCGCGAAGGGTGTGATGTCGTTGCGATGCAAAACTGAGCCAAGTCGAACGCTATCGCAAGTGATCCCGAACGAAATCCGTGTGTGCGTACAAGGCAGGGTATATGTCAACAAGACGCTGATCGGACGAGAAGCGGATCCTCCAGGATGAGCAGGCGGAAGTCGCGATGACGCGACGCTGGAGCAGGTCCGGTGCTGACAAAGACGGGCTGGTGGAATGTGACGAAGAAGGGGCGCTGGCGGGTAAAGCGCGAGCGATGCTGTCAGCTCGGAAGGGATCGCGATGATGGAAGGGAGTTGGCGATGATGGTACGGTTGAGGAGGTAGACACGGTGTGGTGGGGTGGCAGTACGCCAAGGGTTGAGCGGAGCTCCAGAAAAAACTACAGCAGACAGCCGTCTCTGGCTCACAAACACGTCTCGAGATTTACGAACACAGTCCAAGTGCCCGGCGGATTTCCGTTGGACACGATCAACTCAAGACAACAGGCAGGGCCGAATGGTTGCTTTCGTTATGGAATGCATTCGTGCAACTTGGTCGCTTCTGTATCGGATCGTGATCTCGAATGCATATGCTTTCCTGTCGTCAAACTGAGGAACCAGGAGCACTTTGTGGTTGGATCACAGCGCACGAACAGTGTCAACGGGGAGCGAACGAGAGATGGAGCCTGGCACCCACTTTGTGACATGGTACACGGCATTGACAGGAGGAGGCTGCAGCGTGGTACGTTCCCACTTCAGGAACACCACTCAGCCCACGCCTGCTCTGTCATGCAAGAGAAGAGACTCCCGTGACCACAGAGTTGAAGCGCCACACACCGATCGCGACCATCGATGAGAGCTTAAAACACGGAGTGAGGGGGGAGAGAGCATCGGAAATTCCACGGCAGCTCAGCACGGCTATCGGCAGCAATTGCGTTTGGATTAAATTCTCGGCAGGCAGGCTGCGCGCCTTGGCTGAGGAAAGGTCGAAATTCAGGGTTGATCGCCAGGGTCATCTCAGCGGCACACAGCATCCGACTTGCCGCGCAGTTCCGTTGTGCTCCTCTTGGACTGACTGCTGCTCACCTGCTTTCTACTTCAGTATTGTGAAAGCGCTCACTCAAGTGGATCCCCAGCATGCGAAACGGCTGAGAGGTGATGGAGAGGATGCAAGCCGGCTTTGGGGCCTTTGGTCGCTGTATGAACGGCGAAAGCATGCGTTCAAAAAAGCTGGGAACGAAAAAGGCAGGCGGAAAAGCAGCGATTAATTGAGGTACAAAAAAAAGAAGCACCTCGAGCTCCAGCCGACACAGGGGCGCACAGAAGCGATCAAGGGAGGTCTCTACTACTGTATTGCCAAGACCAAGACGAGGCCATATTCGACTCAAAAGTGTCCTGGTGCGCTGATCAGCGAAGGCACCAAGACACGAGCATTTCGGCCAGGCCGAGCCAACGTGCCAAGACAGCTTTGCGGACTGTGAAAATCAGCGTCTGAGCATCTGTCTCGCACGTTCCGATCGCAGGATCGGGATGCTTCCGACACAAAGGAGTATATATCGGCGACTGCCGACCAAGCTCTCTGACAAGGTATCGCTTCGTCCCGGCGTTCAATCTGACAAGCAGCCATGGCAGCCTCGGTCACATCCGACAATGATGCGTGATCCCGCCGAGCTGTGAAAGGGTGGGCGGAAGAGTGGGTTCAGAGAGATGCACAGCCAGCCGCTCGGTTGACGATTTTGAATCGCGGCTGCCCTCGCTTTCAACTGCCTGCCGCCGCCTTGAACCTATTTGCTCGCAAAGCTCGACAGCCTCGACGTCAGAAGCGCAATGCTGTCACCGCATCAGGGCCGCTGTCCGGATACGAGACAGGTGCACACAAGGCACGAACAGCAGCGTACCAGCTGGCTGTCGCTACCATCGTCTGTCTAGGAGGCGTGACCGTGCCTGAATGCTTCACAGAGAAAGATCAAGCCGTGGCGCGCGCTTGTGTGTCATTTTCAGGCAGTCGTCTGGCCTGCTTTGACCTGAACAGCCTACTGCTCAGTCTCGCTTCTGCATCCCTTTTGGCAGCAAAGGCGTCAATCGACACCGCGGGAAGCGGTTGCCTGGCAGGGTCCTGACACCCTTTTTGCCGTTTCAAATCGAGCCTGCTCATTTCAAACCATTCAAAACTCCATCGATGATCCTAATACAAAATCCACCGAGCTGCCTCGACCCCTTTCTAGACTGCATTTGCAATTCGAAAGGGGTTGAATTCACTTTGACGTGCCCTGTGCTCTCCGCGAGAGAGGGTGAGGCTGACCAGCTCGCGCGAGGGACAGGTTCGACTGAATTCTCTTTGACCGCAATCAGCTCACCGAGCAGCGCGGCACAGCTCAGCAAAAATCACAAAGCACACCGCAACACCAAAAAGAGCACGCACACGAACCAAAAACCACAGCACAGCACAGCAGCACGAACGCAGCGCAGCAGCCAGCCAGCTCAACTCGTGTGGGTTCTCAGTCTCCACAAACCGTCATCCTTATCCTTGTCATCCTCCTGATCATCATCAACCATCTCTCTCGATCACAGATCGCACGCGTCGCATCGTATTTTCTGCCTCGTACGCTTTCCTCGCTGCGGCTTCAACTACACTCGACAGTCTGGACACAGCGCACCTTCGACTTCCCTATCTCGTCGCTCGATCGCAGCTCGCCCGTCCTCGCCCTTGACGACCATCTCGCATCCAGACAACCACCTGTTCGATCTCCTACCTGATCGAACTCGTCTGCTTTGCGCGCATAGCATCTTCGACGAAGCTAGGAGCTACGACCGCACAGCTTCTTGATTTAGTATTACTGCCTCGCACCACCTGGCATCTCCATCGACGACCCTTGGACGCTTCTGCCCGCATATCCGATACCCATCACATCTTGAATCATGTCTGAACTCCGCCGAAAGCTCGTTATCGTAGGAGATGGTGCTTGTGGTAAGACGTGTCTCCTTATCGTCTTCTCCAAGGTAAGTTGTTTCTCGAGCTGCACTTCGTGCTGCACACGTCCAGGCCTCGCGGGCCTGATCGTCGAGGTCGAGCAAAGACATGCAGACGTCCACCAAACCGGCTGGATCAGTCGTCGTATAGGAGTCAGCGTGCAGGGCATCTGATGTAGCATCACCGGACCGCGAACGAGCTCTGCGACGTAGTATCCAATGGTCGTCTTGCGATCCTGGACCACCAGGACGCTCCGGATGCGTACTGGGCCCGCTGGCTTGGACGATGGCGCGCGCCAGCTCTGCCTCTTTATGGTCACACCATGAACAGCTGTCACTGACCCGCACTTTGCTTTTCTTATCACCGACACGCTCTGCACTCGCCCGTGTACCTCTCGAACCTGCATCGCACCCATGTAGGGCACCTTCCCCGAAGTCTACGTGCCCACCGTCTTCGAGAACTACGTTGCCGACGTCGAGGTGGATGGTCGCCATGTAGAGCTTGCGCTTTGGGATACCGCAGGTCAGGAGGACTACGACCGACTGCGCCCCCTTTCGTACCCGGACTCGCACGTCATCCTCATCTGCTTCGCCGTCGACTCGCCCGACTCGCTGGACAACGTGCAGGAAAAGTGGATCTCGGAAGTGCTGCATTTCTGCCAGAACCTGCCCATCATCCTCGTCGGCTGCAAGAAGGATCTGCGACACGACCCCAAGATTGTCGACGAGCTGCGAAAGACGAGCCAGCGCCCCGTTTCTGCCGAGGAGGGTATGGCGGTTGCCCAGAAGATCGGCGCCGTCCGTTACCTCGAGTGCTCGGCCAAGACCGGCGAGGGTGTTCGCGAGGTGTTTGAGCACGCTACCCGTGCGGCGCTCGTTCAAAGGAGCCGTGGTTCCAAGAGGAAAGGGTGCACTGTCCTCTAAGGATGTGCGCTCTCAGATCAAAGATGGCGCTCTCGGAGTAAGCTTGGCTGAGTGTGCGAGCTATACACGGTGCCCGCGCTCACCGAACGCCCTTCAATAGCTGACATCTTCGCTCATGGCCCCTAAGCCTCGATCACGGAAGGTTGAGCAGGAAATTGTCGCGCGCTCGCGCGGTCACACTTCCTGGTCCACACCGTGCCCCCTCGTCCATACCTGCCGCTTCTGCTCACTCGTCCCTCTACCTTTCCACCCTGTGTTGCTCTCGCTGGCTGTGTTTCATAACCCCACATCGATTTCAATGATACGTATGCTACCATGCTCGGTCCGACTGTGTCACGCTGGGAACACGAAGTCGACACGGCGACAACTCGAATGCCGCAAAGTTTGCGATTATGCTGGACGGATGAGATGAATGTACGAACCTTCGGCCAAGTCTATGAATCTATGTGCGCACCTTTATCAGCGAACGATGAGGGCGAGGGCCAACGTTGCTGCTACGAACCACATCGCCCTTCCCGCCGCATTCTCCCTGCTCATCGCGCCGGATGCCGACTGGCTCGTGGCGTTCCTCGGCTCCTCCAGCTGGGTCACGGTCAACAGTGCCACCCGTCCGTCCTGCACCGGTTGGCCCGGCAACGCGATCTGCGGATGATTGATCCCCTCGCTCGTCGCATTCAACAGCACTCCCGCCTCTATCCACTCCACCTCGGTCTTCCAAACGAAACCCTGGTAGCTCGTCGTCGCATTCCTCGTTGCGTTACCCACGATGTAGTCTCGACCACGATTGTAGCCATCCGTTTGAATCATGTGCCCCAGCGCGGCGCTCTCCTCCATGGACGCAGCGATGAAGATGGCACCGGAGAAGGCGGAGGTGCCGTTCTGAAGGAACCACCGGAAGTGATTGTCCCCTTCAATGGATTCTTTGCACGTGCCAAAGGTGGGGTCCCCGTAGTTCCAACGGAGAACCCCGTTGCCCCCGTCGTAGTTGCCTTGTTCGCGAATGCCATAGCCATCACCGAGGTTGGCGTACTGGTTGGAGCCGTTGACGTTGCCCAGACAGGAGACGCCGAAGTTGATCGAGCTGCGAAGACGGGAGAGGGAGGAAGTAGAGTGGGTCAGCAAAGTTGGTGAGGAAGAGGAGGATGCAGGGAGAGAGGAGATTCTCACGTGGCATAGCGCAAGAAGCCTTCAGGACACAGCACCTCGGCGGACGAGTTGGACGAGATGATGGCGTTGATGGGTTCGCCGGGCGAGCCATCCAGCCAGATCTGTGCGTTCCAGAATCCGATGCACGAATATGAAAGAAGATGGAGTCAGTCGTCGATGCAATCGAAATGAAGGGATGAGCTCTCGAAAAGTGCGGCAAGATGAACTCTGGTAGTGGAAACTCACAGTGAGCATGCTTCCGTTAGTGCCGTTGTTCGGGTTCCAGTAGCCAGCTTGCGGCAACGGGTTCATTCGTGATGTGTTGTATCGCTGGACGCATTCGCGAAAGATGTTGCTGCCGTCGACGTTGCTGAATTCGCTACGGGACTGCAGCGGGAGTGAGGACAGGGAGGCTGGCGAGGCTACTGCCTGGGGAAGCAGTAGCGAGCAGAGCGCTGCGAGGAGGGAGAGCTGCAGCATCATGGTGGGCTCGCTGGGTGCGCTCGCCGGCGATGCGTGTGAAGGCAAGAAGATGGTCGTGGTGGGAGCTGAGGCAAGGTCGACTGCTGTCAGATGGAGTGAACGAAAGCTTCGGGCGCTGCCGTTGAAGTTATCGCTCCTTCCGCTGGTGAAGTTGGGGCCCCGTCGGCGTTGCCGATGCGTGCGTATACGAGATGAAGCGAGCTTTCGGGTGGCGCCAAGCCAGTCCTGAGCGATCGGATGTTGCGAGTGGGTACAGGCAAGGGCGAAGTCAGCCGTTTGGCGTACTTCTACGAGCTCTAAGGATGAAAGCCGAATCGATAGCGGAAAAACCGGGCTGCTCGTGGTACTGAAGGCACGAGTCTAAGTTCGAGATGCTGGTCCGAAGGCGAGCGTGCGGGCGACTAGTGCTCTTCGCAACAGTGCTGTCCGAGGTGTCTGAGACGTGGTAGTAGCGTTAGGCGTTCAAGAGGTGATGGCGCCGAAGTCGACACAGGCGGCTCTAACGTTTGCCAAGAAGAAGCATCTCCGTAGCCAGTCACAATGTGCTGACTTGCACAGTATCACACACTCGAACCCTTTGCCGAACGCAATCTTGCATGTCCAAATTGCCGCGCTGTGACTGACAAAAATTTCCGTGGATGCCGAGACTTTTTTTTTTGGCAGCGGCAGCACTGCATGTCGGCTGCCCTCATGGTCTTGGCCATGCGGTCGTCAGCTTAGCACGTCAGGGGATATGCACGTCTGACCGGCGATACTGGTCTCTCTCTCTCTGTCTCCTACAGGTGTCTCTGCTCAAAGCATTGCTCGACAAGATGGTCGACTCGGACGTACCTGGCTGGAAGGAAAAAGTCGCCGCTGACATTGCCGGAAGAATCGCTCCGTCCAGCATGCGCCGTGAGATCATAGCCGACCTTAGACGCGCTTTACGATTAAGAGGCCTCATTAAAACGGCGGCGTAACAGCTCACGCCAGAAATTAGAGCCGGCAGCTTGGAACGTCTCGAAGAACGCTTCCTCTCTTACGATCACACGGACGCTGATGAGCAAAGAGGCAAGATCGGTGATGATCCGCACCACCTCGAAGCAGCTTCTTCATAGCCTGTGCACTCTCTGCAGCACGGGTCGGTGGCCGGTCAACTCGGCCTTTGCTCGGGTTGGAGGCGGGCAATGCCGAAAGCGTACCATGTTCTTTGGCCTGATTGAATTGTGGAACTCGCAGACCGATCGCCGCCCTTGTCCGCACTGGTACCAGAGTTGGCGTCTTGAGCACCGCGCATTGTCGAGCCTGGACCTATCAGAAGGCTCAGGTGCGAGATCGGCCCACTAAACAGCTCTGATCAGCCCAGAGCCGATCCTCCTCCATGCATGCCCATTGAACACTCTACGTGTGGCTCGTTGTCCCGTGTTGGTGTGGGAAGGGCAAATCGAGGTCCAACACGGCGGAGTTTGGGTGAACGCCTGGCGACGGCAGCAAAGCCTAGACTCTCAAGAGCCAATTTGCGGCGCTCGCAGAGGTGCACTGAATCGGAAATAGGCTTGCCTGCCTGCGACGGTGCACCGGCACGCGGCATCGCGCAGAAGCTCCAGACTCCGCTCTGCCTAATGCCGTCGAGCTGGAAAGACAGCAAAGCTTTGTTGCAGCAGATCAGGGTTGACCGAGACACGTCCAATCGCCCCTTTAAACCCCAGGGACAACGGGCAACAAAAATCGGAGCAGCTGCCAGACACTCAGATGGACAAGAGCTCATCGGCGAACGTCGCGTAGAAAGAAGACGTGCCATCGAATGGCATTGCGAGCTGGCAGGGAGTTGGCCAATTCGGGAGCGTCGACGTGCGATTGACGGTACACACAAACAAAGCTTGATAGGCGATGTTGCCCTTGGTGTGAATCCGACTCGAGCCTTTTCAACCCGGAGCTGCATGCCGCAAGCGAGGTTGTTAGAGGCTGTCAAAGCGGATCCGGGCCTGGAAACGCGTCTTTCTCCGCGCTGGTTATTGTGAGTGGCCAGCTGTGCATGTGATGATGCGACTCAAAGAGTCGTCGAGTCCCGACTGGCGCCACCTGGCGGATGTAGGACAATGCAACTGCTCAAGTGTGAGCCTGAGTCACGCTCAAGGCAGAGCTGACCGCTGTACGCGCTGCGAGGAAAGATGAGCCTAACGATCTCACCGCAATCTCGGGCTCACTTCTACGGCCAGTCACCTGCAATTGCGAACGATTTTACCATAAGAAAGCGCAAGCAATGCCTTTCGAAGGCGAAATTGTAGTCTCTGGGCCAAAGAGCTGTCCCCACACTTGGCTGCTCAACACTTCATCTTGCTCACCCAAAGTCCTCAGGAGTGCCCTCGCCGTTCATGACATGGAACCGAGTCCAGACTCAAGTTGGGCTTAGGTCGGCTGCAGACTCAGGCCCGTCAGCTGGGCATACGACGGGGCAATCGCGCTCCGCTCCATTGTGCGTGTGAGCGGGTCTGTTCGTGTCCAGACTTGTGTTTGAAAGTGGTCGGTCACGAAAGGCTAGGCGTGGTGATGCATCGGCTCTTCGATTCGCTTGCCAGCTGCCATCCCAATCGACGAGCCTGTCGCTGATTTCGAAAATCGTCTTTTTTGGCCCTTTTTTTTTGCGATTTTCCCGGCTCTGCTCGGGGTCCGAAGGCGCGTGTCACGGTCCAGACAGAGAAAAACAGGCAAGCTGACCCTTCGTTACGGCATGTCAAAGGCCCAGTCGGGCAAAGACCCCAGAAAGGGTGGAAAAGGGTTCTTCTCTTGACTTACTGATCCCGGTCGACAGCGATTCGGAAGCCCGGAAAGCTGGCGGGATTTCCCGCAGGAAGTCCTCTCGCTTCTGTCTCGAAAGTGGGACCGAAGCCCGGATGTGCTTGTGCCTCGATCTGGCTTTCACTTCTGTTCAGTGCTCGACTTCCCGTGCCTATTGTCCCTTGTCATCGGCGTTGAACATGAATAGACCCAAGACCAAGGAACCGGCTAGCTTGGCTTTGCCCCACCCGCGCTGCTGCTGCTGCTGCTGCTGCTGCCTTTCAGTTGGCGCAACGCATCCTCATTGCCAACTCTTCTTTGTTCTTCATCTTTGTTCCGATCTGGTCATGCTGCCTTTTGTCTGTGCTTGACCCGTACGGTTCGACGTCCATGTGATAATGTCAAAGGTACGGTGGCTGCTTGAGCTTAGGCTTGAGCTTGACTGGTGCCTGTCGGATAGACGGGCTCTGCCTGCTTGTGATTTTACCGGTGCTTTTCTGTTTGGAATGAAATTTGGCCTTTCCAGATGCGATTTTAGGTGATTGAATGAGTGTGTGACTGGCTGACTGGCTGACTGACTGACTGACTGACTGTGTTTGTCAGTCGAATTTGCATCTCCGCACAGTCGAGATCCAGAGAGTGGATTCGTGCCCATCGCGTCTCCCTTGGTCGCGCTGTCCCGGACGGGCCGTCTACTCTGTCGGTCTGTCGGTCTGTCAGTTTCGCCTTGGCTGCTCCTCTTTGGCTGGCCTTTGGTTTTGCTTTTGCCTGAGCGGCGCGGCCTTGGCCGTCCGCCTGCCCGCCTGTCCGCCTGTCTGTGGCTCGCTGCGGGCCTTTGCTGCTCCGATCCTGCTGCTCGGATTCCGCTTTGGCTCTGTCTCTGTCAAATCCAGGCCTTTGCTTGCCTGACCTGCTCTTTTGACTGGCCGACTGACTAACTGGCTGCTGCGCTTTACGGAAGCGCCGCCTCTCACCGACCCTTTCTTGTCCGTCCCTGGATTCAGCTCGGTCCCTTCGTTGTCGTTAGTCTTCCTCGTCGTCGTCGTCGTCGTCGTCAGTCCGCAGCTCGGCCTAACGTGTTCCTGCCACCATCCCGTCCCCTGCATCCATCACTTTCTCCTCAACTCACGGTGCGCACTACCCTCTGGATCGGCTGCATCGACTCAGCCTCACACGCCTCCCGCTTTCGTCCACGCTAAGCAGAAACGGCACCCAGACGCGCAGTCGCCGCAACCTATCCCTGAAGCTCAGCGTTCCCCAAGGTGCCAAACTCCGCCGATCCATCTTGACGGGCTTTGTGATTCACCTGCTCGCTACTTTCAGCACCGTCGTTACCACCACACTCGCCCTACCACCACTGGCCCACGCCGACTCTGGCATTTTGGCAGCTCGATTAAGCACTCACAAGCATCCTCGCGCGATCGTTCACTTGGATTCGCAACCGCACCCTACCTTCCTTAGGCAAACCAGAGACACGCCACCCGCATTGCTCACGATTGTGCCGCGCCAGAGCCTCGGCCCTTCACTCGCGTCCGAGACTTTGCTATTCGGTCATTCGTGGAGTCGTCCATCGCCGTTCCATCGCCTTGCTCAGTCCGCCAGCAAACAGTCCATATCCGCTTTTCGAGAGCCCAGATCGGGTCTCCTGTCGAGCTACAACGACCGTCGACTAGGCCGAAAGATTCCGCCATCTTCGCGACATTCTGCTAGCCGCAGCTGCAAAGACCGCCTCATCTGGTGAAGCTACCCGACCCCCCAGCTACAGCAGCGCTTGACATCCTCGGACGCCAGATGACGCTCTCGTGAAACACACCCCTCTCTCTCGACCCCCACCTCTGGCCCATTCGCCCTGGAACTTCTGCGTGCCCTCTCACGCTTGCATCCTCCAGCACTTCCCACAGCTCCATTCCCGCCATTCGCACCGAGTACATCACCGTGCTTTCGAGTGGGTGTAGCACGTCGACGCACCCCCCTTTCCCGCTCTTTCCGCTTTCTTCAGCACTGAACCGCCACCATGTCCTCACCACCAGAACGCGGCGGGTCTTCTCGACCGGGCACTGCAACGACATCCACTGCACCCACCGCCCCAACCCTCAATACGACGCCATCCTCCGTACGCTCTCCCACCGTCTCGCAGCCCTTCATTTATCCCATGCGATCCGCTGTCAGTCTCAAACAGCCCAGCCGCGACGCTGCCACATCACAGGCGCCAGACCAAGTGTTCAGCCTCAACACGCCAGCCGCCAGCGGCTCACGGCCAACGTCATCCGACGGTCCCAGTCATCAAGCCAAAAATTCCGGCTCGGACATTATCCACGAAGGCCGTAATCGCCCAGAAGATGTCGACAAGGCCGCAGATGCAGCGATGGGTCGAATGAGAGTGCCAGGCAACGAGGACAAGGATCTGCGCGATCACCTCGAGCAGCTCACAACCACTCGCTTTGAATACGTCAAGACCGCCGAGGGGCACATGATCCTGACCGGTCGCGGAGGCAAGCTCGCGCGGTGTGAAGACGAGCCCATCCACATCCCAGGCGCGGTCCAATCATTCGGCTGCATGATCGTCGTCCGCATCTCACCAGACGGCGAGATGGTGGTACGTCAGGCGTCCGAGAACTCGACCGAAATCCTCGGCCTATCCCCTCCCTATCTCTTCAGTCTTCCCACCTTTCTCGACATTCTCGATGACGATCAAGCCGACTTGCTCTGGGACAACATCGACTCGCTCGACCAATCCAGTCAAGATCTCGTCGAAACAGGGCCGACCGTCTTCCAGCTGCGCGGCTACGATATGGCCAGCTACGATGAGCGCGTGACCAACGGTGCTCAACGAAGGACATGGAACGCTTGGTGTGGTGCACACATCCCAGATCGCAGGAACGACGGCGAGGGCGAGCTAACCGTCATTCTCGAGTTCGAATTGGTCGACGACGTAGACAATCCCATCTCCACCTTTTCGCCGCCCACAACGCCGCTCGACGAGCGCGAGCGCGAACAATCTAACGGTCCCGGCCTCGGTCTTTCAGCAGGGTGGACCCGAGCGGGGTCCTTTTCAGCAGCTTCAGGGCAAGAATCTCCCTCCATCAGCATAGGAACGATCCACTCGAGCGCCAGCAGCTCGACGACGGTGCGCGACAAAGGCCCTCGAGACGGGCTCGACGGTCTGGCATACACACCCTCAGCAGAAGAGTTGCGCGAATCGACGCGCGCCGTACACAGGCCGCTCAAGGCCCTCTCACGCATGCGTCGCCAAGCCGAGAACAAGCAAAACAACCGCAGCCGTCGACCTGCCGTGCTTCCCAGCACCGGCGGCGGCGATGGCACGGGAGGCATGCTCGACATGTTTGGCATCCTCAGTCAGGTCAACGATCAGCTATCGGCACAAAAGGATCTCAACGAATTCCTCAAGGTGCTTGTCGGTATCGTCCGTGACATTACGCTCTTCAGTCGTGTCATGATCTATCAGTTTGACGAATCCTGGAACGGCCAAGTCGTCTGCGAGCTCGTCGACTGGAACGATTCGCACGACCTCTACCGTGGTCTCCACTTCCCCGCCACCGACATTCCGGCCCAGGCGCGTGCGCTGTACAAGATCAATAAAGTGCGACTGCTCTACGATCGCGATCAACCCACCGCACGCATTATGTGCCGTGACCAAGCCGACCTCGATTTCCCTATCGACATGACGCACGCCTTCATCCGCGCCATGTCGCCGATCCATATCAAGTATCTCGCCAACATGGGGGTCCGCTCGTCCATGTCCGTGTCCATCACAGCCTTTGGCGAGCTCTGGGGTCTCATCTCGTTGCACAACTACGGCGCGCATGGTAAGCGAGTCTCGTTTCCCATCCGTCAGCTCATGCGGCTTATCGGCGAGTCCGTCTCGAGCAACATCGAACGTCTCAGCTACACCCGCAGACTGTCCGCGAGAAAGCTCATCAACACGCTACCGACGGACCAGAACCCAAGCGGTTACATCATCTCGAACGCCGAAGATCTGCTGACCCTCTTTGATGCCGACTACGGTGTCATTGCCATCGGCAACGAGGCCAAGATTCTCGGTCCTCTCAACGCAAGCCAGGAAGTGCTGGCGGTCACCGAGTACCTGCGACTGAAGAAGTTCGAGCATCTCGTCACCTCACAGGACGTGCGTCGCGACTTTCCCGACATGGTCTTGTCGACCGGTCTGCACGTCATCGCTGGTCTCTTACTCGTGCCTCTATCGGGAAGCGGTGTCGACTTCATCGCATTCCTCCGCAAGACGCAGCTGCGTCACGTCAACTGGGCCGGCAAGCCCTTCAAGGAGGGCAAGGAAGGCCAAGCCGCGCTCGAACCACGCAAGTCGTTCAAGGTCTGGTCCGAAACGGTGGAAGGTACCTGCCGCGCCTGGAAGGACGAGGAGCTCGAGACTGCGTCCGTCCTTTGCCTCGTCTACGGAAAGTTCATCTCGGTCTGGCGACAGCGTGAGCAAGCGCTCCATTACAATCAGCTCAACCGACTCTTGCTTTCCAATGCGAGTCACGAAGTACGAACACCGCTCAACCACATCATCAACTACCTCGAGCTCGCGCTTGACAGCAAGCTCGACGACGATACGCGCGAGAACCTCAGCAAGTCGCATCTCGCTTCCAAGAGTCTGCTCTTTGTCATCAACGACCTGCTCGACTTGACCAAGCAGGAGATCGGAAACGAGCTCTTCCTGCAGGAGCCATTCGATCTGGCCGCGACGGTGCGCGAGGCGATCGAGATGCACGAATGGGAGGCCAAGCGACGTCGCATCGATTTTTCCGTCTCCACGGACCCCGAGGTGTGCCTGGTGCTCGGCGACAAGAACCGTGTGCGCCAGATCATCACCAATACGGTCACCAACTCGGTCAAGTACACGCGCGAAGGTCAGATCACCGTCTCGATGCGCAAACTCATCGAAGACGAGCGCGAGACCGACTTGCCCAATGGCTGCGACATGGAGGTTGAGCTGGTCGTCAGCGATACCGGCGAAGGCATTCCTCAGGAGAAGCTCGAGGTCATCTTCCGAGAATTCGAGCAGGTGGAGTCCGTCATTGCGCAGCCTGGCCGTCAAGATTTGTCGGATCTCGAGGGAAGCGAGGCGAGCCTCGTGCGCACCGATCAGTCGGACGGCGGTCTCGGTCTTGGCCTCGCCATCGTGGCGCGTGTCGTCAAGAACCTGGGTGGACAGCTCCGCGTCGATTCTTCCGTTGGCGAAGGGACTACCTTCACCTACTACATTCCCTTTTGCTCGGCAGAGACCACCACGCCCACCGAGATGCCTCAGACAGGCAGCGGCGGCAGCGGCGCCAGTGGTACCAAGCGCGGCAGCGATTCAGTCTCGATGCGACGTGCCAACTCGATCGGCAGCGGCAGCGCCAGCTCCGCTGGTCGAAGTGAGATCGACTCGCTCGTTGAGGCCATTCAGCAGCCGGTACTGCGCGACCAGGGCACCGTGGAGGATGTGACGCAGCAGAGGCGCACCGCCGAGGGCGCCTCATCCAACGTTCACAACGGTCCCAGGAACGTCTCGGCTGGCACTGCGCGACCGGGCTTCGGAGCCGCTCGGAACCACTCGTTTGACAGCGGCACCCATCCCGTCGAGGGAAGCGGTATCCCTGTGCGTTCCGTCAAGATCGATCCGCAGGCTCTGGACTCGAACGACCGTGCCGACCGACGTCCGCCCAGCTCTGCCTTCATGTCGAGCGCCACCACGCATGCACGACCCGCCAGGAGCAACTTGAGCGCAGCCGAGTCGTTCAAAGCCGAGGTGGAGCACCGAGCTCGCGAGAATCCTCCGCACATCGCCGGAGACGCTTTGCCGTTCCATGCCAAGCAGCAGCGATCGGCGCCGGTGGACGAAGCACCACCTTCGCCTCGTACTCCTGCCAAGAACAACCTCAACGTGCCACAGTCCGAAGCCGAATCGCCAGGTTCCGAGGACACGCACGCTTCCGATCATACCGCTGAACGCCGCGCCTCGTCGTCGTCGACCAACGCTGCCAAGCGTAGGATGGCAGTCATGCGCGGGCTTCACAAGACACCAGGCGCTCGCAGCGAAAAGCTTGCTCCGCTGCGCGTGCTGGTAGTCGAAGATGATCCCATCAACCGCATGATCCTCAAGAAGCGACTGGGTCTCGATGGTCACACGACGCTGCTCGCCGTCAATGGTGAAGAAGGCGTGCGACAGTTCGAACAAGACGCCAAGGAGATCGATGTCATTCTGATGGACCTGCAGATGCCCATCTGCAACGGCCAGGAGGCGTGCATCCGCATTCGCGAGCTCGAGGCCAAGTGGGCAGAGAGCGGCGAGCACGCGGACCGTCCGGCTGCCCAGGTGCTCAACGGGCGGGTTCCGATCTTGGCCGTTTCGGCGACACTGGTGCCGCAGATGAGACAGGAGATGGTCGACATCGGCATGGACGGCTGGATCCTGAAGCCGATCGACTTTGCGCGTCTCAATGCTCTGCTCAAGGGTCTGCTGCAACCAGAAGACCGTGTCGCCAACCACTGGAAGCCAGGCTACTCGTGGGAGAAAGGTGGGTGGCTGTCCGAGCCGGCGCAGCGTTCAGTGCCCATCGCGGCCTCTTCCGTCGAAGAAGTCTCTGGGGCGAACGATGTGTCGGCCTCGGAGGAGCCGAGCCAGCAAGTCGATCCTCCCAGTGCCTGAGCACTCGTCGCATCATCCATGGTTATCAGAAGGACGAACCACGCGCGCATCGCGGGTTTCAACGGCGTTCACAGCTACATCAAGAGGATCTCCCTTATCGTATTCTTCGGGCTCACGGAAACTCATCGCAGGGTGTTATACACGACAGCACCCTTCTGCACAAGCATTCCCTCCATTTGTTCTCTCTCCCTCTTCCTCTCTCTCGTACTCTTTCTCTCTCATCCTCTTCTCTTCTCTTCTCTCTCTCTTTTTCTCTCTCGCGCTCTCAACACACATGTACTTGTTCTTGTCATAAGGCTCATACACTCGGAATGAATGTCAGGGATGAATGCGGATCTTTGGTTTGCGGATTCGACGAGTGTGTTCTCGGTTCTTGTGCGGCTAGCAGCGGCTTGCCTGGGCCTCGATGGCCTGCACCTCGATCGCGGTGGTCACGGGGATGAGGTAGGCCTGGAAGAGCCTGAGCACCTCCGCCTCTGCACCGTCGGGATATCCCTCATCGCCGGCGAAGAGCTTTGACCAAGCCTTTGCTTTCTCTTGAACGCGACCGAGCACTTTGACCTCCTGTTTGTGGTCCACGATCAGCTCCAGTATCCGCTTCCTCGGGTTGCGATTGGCGAAGATGGCGCAGAAGGTCTCGTGCTGCCACTCAAATTTGGCCAGACCGACTTGGTAGCCGATCAACATGCGGGCTGAGGCGAGCCGTAGAAGGCTTGCGTCGAGCAATGCTACTGCTCCAGGATCGAGCGTGTGGTTGATAGGAAGATCCGTGAAGGTGTCTTGGAAGAATCGCGCCACGGTGGGCGGATCCTGGGGTCGACGACCGATGGGGAAGATGCCTTGGCCCACCACGGGTTGATCCAGAATCGCATCCCGCGGAAGCACCACCGGCGTCTTGTACACTGTCCCAACTGGCCATGGTCGAACGTCAAAGGTTGAACCACCGCGCTTCAGCCACGCAGCAAGAGATGGGTCAGGCTGCGGAGTGGCAAGGTTGAAAAGAACGTCGCCCGTCCATCCGGTCTCGCCGACCACCGAGCCGCCAAGTGCCAGACGCGAGAGGAAGGCGTGGATGAGAGAGGTTTCGTATCGATCAAGCTGGGCACGGAGGACGGTGAGACGGTCGTCCGGCGTGATGGCGTCGGTGCAGGTGACGGAGGAGATGGCGAGCAGCGCCCAGGTGAATGCGAGGAGGAGCTTCATGGTGATTCTGGGGGACGATGCGAGGCTGCACACAGACAAGAGCAGGAGCCGGGGCTTATAAGTCGACTAGTCAGAGGGTCTGTGGTGGTCCCATAGCGGCGCGAGCCTGCTGTGGTGGGTCGACCACCCACCAGCCCTAGGTGGAGTTTTCATCAAGCTCCCATCCCACAGCAGGCGTCGAGTCAAGGGGTCAAAGCAACAATGGGGGGTTTAGCTTTGGGCGCTCGCACTTGATAGGCTTTCCCTCACGTCCCACTTCGGGTCCGAGTCACCGTGGCATGCTGGCTCAAGATGAAAGAGATCAAGGCTCAGGGACCACCTTGTGGCACCGTAACGCTCGAGGTGGGTTAGAGCAACGCCACGATGAGCTTAGTGGGACATGAGCAAGGGTCCTGTGACGACGGTCACTTCATCTCCCCTGGTCAAAGCTCTAACGGCAACATGTCAAGCCGCGGTCCCTCTCAGATGCGAAACGACGGCTAGACAAGAACCATCTGCGGTGTTTGACACGGCGCCCCGCTTGACAAGTAGAGAGATCTGCTTGCGAGAAGGTCAAGCTTCAGAGGTAATCGCGACTCGCTCAAGCTAGCCTCTCCCGAGGCCGCTTAAACTGACCGCGATTCGCGCGCCTTTTTCGGCGTGAAGCGGCGAAATCCGCTCTTGTTACGTACTGTTATCGCTCTCAGCTGCATCTCGATAGTGATAGACGCCGTGGCATGGCTAACCGCTTTTGCAGCTGAGTACTGAATCGGGTACAAAAGAGCATTGCCGAATCCACACTTTTTCTTGGCTTCCGACCCCTGAAAGCTTCTTGTTCACCAACCATCATTCAAGATGCCCGTCAATGCGGTTGCCGAAAAGTAGGTTCACATCGTTTTTCAGTTGATAGCTCTCGAACGCTAACCCTCGTCTTTGGCGTTGCTAAATAGTGTGCTCGGCACGATAGGGACCATCCTATGGTCGTTCCAGCTGGTCCCGCAAATCATCAAGTCGTATCGGAGTAAAGACACGGACGGTCTCTCGGCATGGCTCTTTCTCATCTGGGTCGCCGGCTCTATCCCGCAAGGCACCTACCTCGTGGTGGAGAACATCAACATCCCGCTCATCATCCAGCCGCAGCTCTTTTCAACCTTTGCGATCATCGCCATGGCCCAATGCTGGCGATATTCGCACGGCATTTCAGCCCGAAAATGCACCGTCGGAGCGATAGCAAGTGGTGCACTGGCGGGAGGGTTCGAGGTGGCCTTCTACTTCCTGTGCAAGCTCGGCGAGAGGAGAGGCACATCCGCGGCGACAAAGACGATGGGTATCGTAGGAGCCGTGCTGATCGTCGTCGGGTTAGTGCCGCAGTACTACGAGATCTGGCGGTTGAAGGAGGTGAGGGGAATCAGTCTGCTATTCCTGGCGATCGACTGCTCGGGTGGGGTGTTCAGTCTGTTGAGCCTGGTATTCAAGGAGAGCTTTGATGGGATCGCTGCTGCAAAGTAAGTCACAAACGTGGTCGATGGCTCATCAAGGGTTTGGGCACTGACGAGTCTGAGCTTTTGTTTTGATCGAACCACAGCTACATCGGAATCGTCGTGCTCGAACTGGGCATCTTTGCCTGCTACCTCATTCTCAATCCAAGAGCGGAACGACGGCGGCTGCGCGAGCAAGAGCAGCAACCATCGTCGGACAGCGCATCACAATCCGCACCAACATCAGACATGCAAGACATTGAACAAGCTCGCATCACACCTGGTGCGGAAAGCACCACCCCAGAGTGGTCTCGTCAAACGACGCTGGACGAAAAGTCGACAGCCGCGCCCACACCCGCCGACAGCCGGCCCAAAAGCACCATTCAAGAAGCATGACATTCGCACACGCCACTGTATTTGTACCATCTTTCATAGAACTGCATTATCCCTCATATCCTTCCTTGATGAGCCACCGCTCGATATCCTTTATGATGCTTTCGTGCTTCTTGCCCTCGGCGTCCAGCACCGTCACTTTTCCTTGATGGCCGCTGGTCTTCGCTCCGCCATTGGCCACGATGAGGGTGTTCAGTTTGGGATGCTTGCCGAACAGCGTTAGGGCGGAAGCGTCGTCCAGATCGGAGATGACCACGAGCCCTGAGATCGCCGGTCGCCCACCAAACATTCCGCCGCCACCAAAGATCTTGCCCAAGAGCCCACCGCCGCCGCCACTCGACTGCCCAGGCTCGATGTACTGACTGACAATGCTCGCGGTTGCCTCTGGCGCGCTGTCGGCGGAATGATGCACAAACAGCACCGGTTGACGCTGCAAATTGCTCAGTCGGATCTGGCTGTGAAGCTCGTCTGCCAGCTTCTCCGTCTTCCTTCCTTCTGCTTGAGGGGGCAGAGCAAGGTTCATCTGGAGACAATCGTACCCAGCCTCGCGGAAGTAGCCGATCCAAGGGAACCACTTCTCCCTCTCCCCACCTCCACCGCCAAAGTTGGAGACGAGACTCTTGACCAGCCCGCCGGAGGAGGAGGACGAGGTGAGGAAGACCAGTGTCACGGTCTGACGACGTGGCGCGGAGGGCGATGCGGGCCGAACGAGGGTAGACGACCCAGTAACTGGTTTCTCCGAAGATTCGAGTGGGGAATGGACGGAGAAGCTACGCGTGGGAGCGTCCGGCTGCAGATAGTAGAGTCCCGACCCTGCGACAACCAGGCCGCCGGAGAGTGTTTTGAGTGGCCATCGACGGTTTGAGGCGGAAGCGGAGGGCGCAGGGGTGGTGTGCAAGGATCGTGCGGCCAAAGCGGGCGTTGCAGAACCGATGCGCAAGGTTGTGGGTTGCACAAGACACAGCGAGGTGCGCGCTTGACTGCGAAGGAGCATGGGCTGACGAGCAAAGATGGAAGCCGACATGATGAACACAGCGATAACGGACAAGCTGACTCGAGATGATGGGTGCTGGATGGCACGTTGCAAGGTATCGAGCTGGATGCAGGTGGAGGCTTCGAGGTGCAGCGAGTTGGTCCCTGCGCTCAAGCCTCTGCAAAGCTTTTACGGGTATATATATGCTACTTGTGCCTTCGACAGGCAAGCGCTTCTTTAGCTCAGTTGGTACGAGCGTCCGACTGAAGAATTCAGTTTCACCAGTCGCCACTGTTTGCAGTGGACAAGGTATCGGGAGGTCACCTGTTCGACCCAGGTAAGGAGCATTTTCTTTTTGTTTTTGGAATCTCATGCAAAGATCGTCGTGACGTCGTGCCGTGCTCTCACGCGCCTGAAAAGAACAACACGCTGAGAGGAGTAGTTCATCTGGTCCCTGCGTCGGATGCATCAATTCCAGACGCCTCACTCTATCAAATCGTTCCATCATTCCGACATCATAGTCAGCACCAGCGACAGCGGCGGCTGAGCAGACGGCATGGTGTTCATCGTCAAGATACCCAATCGCTCACGCGCAAATACCCCGGAAGCATCCACCACTCCCCCGCCCGACATGCCACCATCGCAAGAAGGAATCCGGACGGACGCACAAGCCCCTCCTCTTCCTGCATCCGCTTCTGCATCGAATCCCGTCAGCAATGAAGCGCAAGCTGGAAGATCCGAATTCTGGAATGTGACTCCTTCGAACAGTCACACCGTCAGCACAGCCAACACGGCTGCTCCGAACCCAGCACACTCAGCAGCCGAGCTCGACGTCCTCTTGGCACCGTCCGTGCTGAATCACAGATACGTTCGTGGCGTGGACAAGAGTCTCATCGTCGAGAGACCAGAGCGAATCCGTGCAGTCCTGCTCGGCATCGCCACTGCCATCGGCAAATCGTCCACCACTGAGCAGCATCCGCCGTTACCCACGTCCGTCTCCAACAACGCCTTTCAAACTTCGCCCACGCCAGCATCGAGGTGGAGCGGCGCTTCCGCAAGCGACGCTTCTGTGCCACCACTGCCATTCATCAAAGCGCCGGCGCAAGGCAATGACGACGATGATCTGGTAGCCCGACTCAACTCCCTCTCCGTACAGGGCGATGCGGCTCAAGCAACCTCATCGCAAACGCAGCAAAAGTTCCGCGTCCTCCATTCGACAAGATCTTTGCCGCTCGACCCGCCTCATCCCGCCGTAGCTTTCGCCCATGCCCATTCGGACGAGCTCGTGACTGTGCTGGAGAGCGCGTATGACCAAGCCAAGCAGAAACGGAGAGATGCGCGTGCTGCCATTCCCGAACCTTTGCAGATCCCAGCGGCGAACCTTTCCAACCCTTCGCTGTCGAACCCGGATCACGCCAAAGCTGAAAGAGAGGCAACACCCACGCCCTCCTCCATCATGACCGATCCGCAGCAGCAGCAGAAAGATGTGTTCACCGGCGCCTCTACACCGCGCACGTCGCATGCGGCCTACCTCGAATACCTCTGCAGCCGAGCACCCAATCATCCGCCATTCTCACATCGCAAACCACAACATTCGTCGCCGTCGAAGGCGATACCGGAAGACAGCGAAGCGTATACCTCTAGCGACGGCGAGGGGGACGATGCTATGCATGTCTCCGAGGTGCCCGAACACTTGCCGCAGGGCGACTTGTACCTTGCAGGACCATCGAAGGAAGGGAGCTTGGAAGGAGGATCTGCTGAAGCCATTCGACACGCCATGGGCGCTTGTTGCGAGGCGGTCGACCGCGTCGTTTGGGCAGCCGCTTCCGCCAGCTCGGGTTCGCAGACCCCAACAGCGCTCAAAGAGATCACCTACGAAGGCGTGAGCCAGCCCGACTCGTCGACTCACGCCAACCCACCACCAGCCAAACGCGCCTTCGTGCTCAGTCGACCGCCAGGCCACCACTGCTCCGGCTCCACGCCTCAGGGCTTCTGCTGGGTCAACAATGCCATCGTCGCAGCCGCCCACGCCTACCTCACACACGCCGTCGACCGCGTCGTCATATTCGACATCGACCTGCACCACGGCAATGGCACCCAGAACCTTGCATGGCGCATCAACGCCGACGCCAACAAGCACGACGACCAGCGCGCCGAACGCATCTCGAGCCTGCGTGCGGCTGCCCTCGAGCGAGCGCGGCAGGCCGTGGGGAGCGGCAGCGGCCGTGCCCACGCCAGCAGGATTGCAAAGGTGGCACTGTCCGAGCAGGACGAGACCGAGGTGAAGCGTCAAGCAGGACCGAGGGCGTTGAGACTCTTCTACAGCTCGCTGCACGATATCGAGTCTTTTCCCTGCGAAGACGGCGATCCGAGCATGATCAAGGATGCAAGCACTTGCGTTGAGGGCGCGCACGGACAATGGATCTGGAACAGTAAGTAGCGGGATTGTGGCAGAGCAATCAGCCTTGGACGCCGACGATTAAGCACAACAATGGTAAAAGGTCCGAGGAAGGCGGGCCTCGTGCTTGGCAGTCCCGTGACGCAGATCGAAAAGAGTCGCTGGTTGTCCCGTGGGCTTTGTCGGTGCGCTTACTCTCGAGAAAGACGACCGCTGCCTTCGAGATGCTGGGCGACATGAGGCGTCCAAAGTAATGGGCTTGACTTCGAAGCATTCCGATTTGTCGAAGCAGAACCCCTTGCTGACACCTCTTCCTCTTCATACACACACCACAGTCCATCTGGACCACTACCGCTCCGAGTCCGACTTCAAGCGCCTCTACGACGACAAGTACAAGATCCTCTTCAGCAAAGCCGCGCGCTTCCTCTTGGCCACCTCCGCCACCCCACAATCCACGCTCATCCTCATCTCGGCTGGATTCGACGCCTGCGCCTACGAATATCCCGGCATGCAGCGGCACGGCAAGCATGTCCCGCCGTCATTCTACCACACGTTTGCGCGAGACGCTGTCGACTTTGCCGATGCGCACGGGCAGGGCAAACTCGTGTCGGTGCTCGAGGGTGGGTATAGCGACCGGGCGTTGTGCTCGGCTGCATTGGCGCACGTGACTGGTCTCGCCGTCGGTTCGACGGCCTCGCAGGCAGAGGAAGAGGCGGAATACTGGAAATTGGAGAACCTGATCGCGGTTGAAAAGGTAGCGAAGAAGATGGCCGCCCACGCCGCCGCCGCCGTCAGTACTGGGGCGAGTGGCGCAGCGAGCACGAACACCACGCCCAAGCGCAGGCAGGCGGAATTGGCACCCTGGCTCTCGCTCACCTCGAAGGCGTTTGCGGCCTTCGAACAGGCATGCGGCAAAGACGTCGTGCCGCTCAACGCGACTGCTACGCCGTCGCGGGCAGCAACGGCGGTGCGGTTGACCGCAGATACGAGCGCCATGAACAGTCCAGCAGGGAGGGTGCTGAGGACGCGCAAGAGCAGGGCCAACTTTGGCGATGTCACGACGACACCGCAGGCGAGACGCGCGGCTAGCCCGACGAAGCCCACGCCTGCGAGAGGAGCGGGGGTGTTGGCGAAGAAGGAGTCTCCTGCGAGGGCGAGGGCGGGTGCAGGGCCGTTCGGTGCGCCTGTGACGCCCGTGAAGATCGAGGTGAAGGACGAGGGGGACATGTCGATGGACACGGATACGCCGACGCGTACGAGTGCGGGCGTCGTGGTTGGTGCAAACTTGTCCTCGCCTGTGAAGATTGGCCAGACGACAGACGATGTTGCCCAAGAAACCACTCCACAGGCCCAGCAAGCTCCGCAGCAACCATCGCACACGACCGATCCTACCGATACCGGCGTCACGCACACAACCGCGATCTCCGAGGCATCCTCTGCGACCGGCAACGATTCACCTTCGCCTCACAAAAGACCGGCGCACATCTCAACTCATCCGCCTCCGCCAACCAACTACATCGGCACAGCATCCACCCCGCAATCGCCCATGCTGACCTCTGCGCCCGTGACACTGGTCGACGCGCTCTCGGCGCCCCAACACCGCGTGGTGGACGCCAACACGGCGCACTACGCTTCTGCGGACGTTTTGGGGCTGGATTTCCTGCGTGCGCAAGCGTTCCAGTTCGCCAACGGTGAGGCTGGGGAAGAGGATGCGCCGGGCTCACCCGATCCCGACGTGCCGCCGCTCGAGGGCGGGGCGGTGGAAGGATACTTTCCTCCCGTCAAGGAGGACAGGGCCATGCCGGGCGGTCTGGGGACGTTTTCGGGGATGAATCTGGATCAGGCCACGCTGCAACGGGTGAAGTCGAGGGATAGCGATGGCGGAAAGGGGCTCTATCCACACTTGCCCGGTTCCTTCGCTTCGCCCGGTCGCAGACAATGACGCTCACAGCCTTGCACCCTCTCATTCACACCATGTCGAAGCATGTCTTGCAAACGTCGGAATTGCACTTGGCAACTCGTATGGCAGCCGTGAAGACGTGACCCCCTCTCTACTTGTGATTCTTCTTGATCCGACGTTTTTTCTCGGCCTTGGGCATCTTGGTCTTTCGCTTCTCGCGGTTGGCCGCCTTGGTCTCCTTCTTGGCCTGCTTCTTGAGGTTGCGAGCTTCTTCCTTGGTGAGCTGAGGCCCATCTTTGGGATGCGATGCTTCGTCCTCGCCCGAGTCGCTGCCGTCCGAGCTTGAGTCTGAGGCGGAGCCTTCGTCGTCGTCATCAAGCTCAGCAGATGGAATTGGTTCTGTCTGGGAGGCAGCTGGTTGGCGCTTCTGACGCTCGATCTCGCGTTCCGGATCGTCCATCTCGTGGAGCGAAAAGGGGATGTAGGTCTCTTTGAACACGGCGTCGTCCGTTTTGGCGGTGTCCGCTTTTGACTTTTTGTCTTGGCCGTCATCTTTCACCTCGGTTGTGGCGGTGGGTTCGACCGAGAGCTGGTGCATGAGCGTCTCGAGCGTCTGCATGATCGACTCCTCGTTCTCTCCTGTGGCTTGCGATGCCGGTGCCGCGGTGGTGGATGAGCTGTTGAGGCCTGAATACCACGCGCCTCCGCCGGTGACTTTCGATGCGGCGGTGGGCTCCTCCGCCACCGTCTTTGTTGTCACCGTCGCCGCCTCGCGCGTCGCCACTTGCGCTTTGAGCTGCTGATCATGTTCCGCATTCGGATTGGGCTTGTCATCCTGATGAAAGTCCGCCTCCTGCTTCTCCAACCCGGCCCTTCCACCTTTCCTCCCACCCTCCGTCGGCTCTGCTACGACAAACTCGAACGTCCGCCTTAATCCTAACGTATGCACTCCCCGCCTGGCAAAGTACTCGTCCACATGTCCAATATCCGCCCGCAGAAAGTCGAACGCCCGCGGATGATCGTGTTCGACCGACTGACTGACGTCGATAATCCACAGATGGCCCTGGTGGTACAAGATGTTGTACTCGCTGAGATCAGCGTGAACAAGCCTGCACTCGTGGTACATGATCCGCACACTTGCGAGCAGCTCCCTGTACAGCCGTGACCAAGTGTGTGCGTCCGACCCAATCATCTCGTCTGCGTCCTTCAACCTCGGACTCGCCCACCCGTCTTCGTCGCCCAAGAACTGCATCACCAACACATGATCCCTCAACTCGACCGGTATCGGCGCCCTCAACCCCGCCGCGACCATCCTCTTCAGATTTCGAGCCTCCTTCTCCGCCCACAGACGAACCATCTTTCGCGGATTGTGCTTCGCATATCCGTGCCGGAACCGAAACTCGCCGCTAACGTAACGATCACGATCCTTAAAGACCAGAATGGACGTCTTGTAGATCTTCAATGCCAAACTCCCCTGTCCCTCCTCATCACCTGCAGCGGGAGTGGTAGCATGGTAGACATTGGCCTCCTTACCCGTGCTAATGCACCCATTGACACTCTCGAGGAGCGAACGGTTCACCATCTTGTAGAGGATCAACATGGTTCGTGGATCCAAGACGCCTTCGACGGTGGCGCGATCGGCCTTGTCCTTGATCCTCACGGCGGAGCGACCGCCGAGAGCTTTGCGGGGTACGGTGGAGTTGACGCCGCCACCGATGGCCGAGGAAGGGTCGTACATGTCGTCGACGCGGACGCGCGAAGCGTATTTGGAGAGGGATTCCATCTGGGATGCGGTGTGCGAGGAGGAGGTCGATGGACCGGCGGTGGCGACTGCAGCAGTCGTAGAGGAGGTGGAGGAGGGAGTGGGTCGCCTACGTCGATTCATCGCGGGCAGCGGCGTTGACGTCGACTTTGTGCTGGATTGGATGGCAGTGGCAAGCTGCCGTGACCGATTGAACTGCTTGGTGAAATCACCCCGTGCCAGCTCCCAGTCCGCATCCTCGACCGCACCGAAGCCGTCAGCTTCATCTTCGTAGTCGAGCTCATCGAGCTCGTCGATGGCATCGTCGGACTCTTCGGCGTCGGAGGAAGGATGGAGCAGGTCCGAGATTTCGAGGCGTCGTTGCTGTTGCGAGGTGGTGGTGTCTTCGTCCTGTGCTGCGATGAGGTGCTGCTGCTGCTGGGAGGTGTGCGAGACGGTGCCCTGATCAGGGGCGTCATCGAACTGACCCGCTTCCATGCTGACGATGATCTGAGCTGCTTTGCAAGGCTCTGTAGAGGTGTGACGGAGTGGGCTCGACACGATGTCAGAGAGGTGGCTGAGGATGGCAAAGGCAACTAGACTTCGAGAAGTTTGAGCTGCAAAAAATTCCTTGGACCCTGGCCGAGTTCCGCAGTGGAGTGGAACCTAACACGCTCAAGACTTTAGCGAGGGAGTTCCGCCGCCCGGACCACACAAAGGAAGAGCAACACCTGCACTTATGAAACAGAACACAGCCAAGAGGAGGCGTGTGCCTGACATTTTGATTGCATACACCTCGAATCGTAGGCTGTGCCGAACGAAGAACTGGCTCGCCAAAGGGCAATCCTCTCCTTCCCACTTCCGCCATTCACTCAAGTCACAGAGCACATCTTCTGGCTCATCAGTCCAAGCCGCCACGCTCAAACGTCACTGTGTCACATTCGTACGCGTCACAGTCTTCCCAGGCTCACGGGTGACCCGAACGAAGCATCGGCTAGGTCCCGAATCCGACCTCGAATAGGTGACCCAAGTAGCTCAGCCCCGATCAGCCAGGATGAGCTCGCCATCGTCGCTCACGGTGGTATACCCGCCTGCTTTCGCAAACTCGTTCTGGTCACATCCCGCCTACCGCCCAGGAGCACAGAGCCTCTACTCCAAGCTGCAAGCGGGTCTCGACGAGAACGAGTCAATTCTTGCTTTTGTAGCGCATCGAGCAGAGCTCGAGTACACTCATGCAGAGGCTCTGGCGACACCGCCCCCTCAAGTATCCTTTGCAGCGCCTCTCTTCAAGCAAGCAGCCGGCATCCTTCACGAGGTCCTCCCCATCGACACCAACCTCGGCGCTTCATCCGCTCCAACGCGCGGGTTTAGCACCAACACCTCAGCCACCTCGCGCGCTTTTCGCATGATCCAGGCCGAGACCAACAGCGCACACGCCAACGCTCACGGCAAAGTAGCTCGTCATCTCGAAAAGTCCATTCTCGAGCCCTTTGGCAAGTGGGCAGCTGATCACCGCCAACGTGTCACCCAGAGCTGGGAGCACGTCGACGCTACGCTCGCTCGCTTCGAACGTCAGAAGAACGAGGTCGACAAGCTTAAGCATAGCTACGAGAACAAGTGCCGAACCGCTGACGAGGCGGAGGACGATGCGCGATTCGCGCCCATCGAGGACTCGGATCACGTCTCGTCCCCACCTGCTCGAGCTTCTGATGCTGGGCTGCGACCACCCGGGCCACCGGGGTCCCTCCTGCAGCGCAGGAGCGTCTCGGGCGAGAGCGCCAAGGCAATCGACGCAGAGGAAGAGACAGACGCTGAAAAGCTCAAGCGTCGCGAAACAGTCCGAAAGCAGTTTGGCTTCTCGCAGCGAGCTGCATCGGCCACTCATGCTCCATCGGCGGCTGCCAGGGCCGTCGAGTTTGCTGGCGTCAAGCTGCCTCCTCTACCTACTGAGACGGAAGGACAGGCTATGGAGAGTAGTGTTGACTCAGCCGCGCCTGCTACCAGCCTAAAGCGTACCGGCACCATCTCAGCTCTGGTCAGCTCGGCGGTTGAGAAGATGCCCGCTCCCATCAAGGCAGCCGTCGGTGGCGTAGTGTCCGGAGAACCCCGTCACTTCCGACTTAGGCGTGACGCCGACAACGCAGAAAGGGTCTATGAGGAAGCTGTCCGCAATCTGGATCGCACCCGTTGCCAGGTCGAAGAGGTGCTCTTTGAGCACTACGCTCTTACCCAGCGCTGGGAGGTCGACCGCATTCGAGCCGTCCAGTCGGTGCTTGCATCCTACAACCAGGCTGTCTCGGCGCAGCTTCCCATCCTGCAAGAGTCGTCCGCTCGCTCAGTCCACATTCATCAAGGCCTCAACCCGGCATTGGAGCTGCGTGCCTTGATACGTCAAGCCAGGACCGGTCCCTTCCATCCAGCCATCGAGCGCTTCCAGCCGTACTACCACGACGAGATTTCGCTTGGTCGCAAAGCGGGCCCTCAGGGTGAGGCACACGCATGGCTTATCAAGAATGGCGGGTTCGGCTTGAACTTGTCCCTTGTCGAACGTCTTGACTACCTCGAGCGACTGGAGCGCCAGCAGTCAGGAGCCGCCGATTTAGCTACAAGCGCTGGTGCAAGCTCGCAACAGCTGGCCCCGCTTCCACCTGTGCTGACTGCGCTTTTGGCGGCACTGGAGCGTGCATACTCAGACACCGAAAGGTGGACCGAGATGGCCAAGGCGCTCACTGCTTCAAAGACAACCGAAGGCGCTGCTGTTGATGAGCCCGCTGCGCCGGACGCGAAGCTGGTCGACCAGGAGAAGCGCAAGGTCTGGATTCTCGAGGTGCCGCTGCCCATCACGCATCGTCTGCGAGATGCTCTGATCGCGCACCTCACCCCTTCGCTTGCTGACCTCATCTATGGCGATGGCAAGGCTGCCGATGGAAGCTTCAACCCGATCCCGGACAAACTTCTCGACTCGTACGATGCACCTGTCCTGGCCGCTTGCGTCAAGCTCTGGCTGCTCGAGCTTGAGCACAGTCTCATTACCGAAGATCTCTGGGACCAGATTGACTCGATCTACCGCGCTGCTGCAGGCCAGGAGCACGAGGCTCTCGCTGCTGCCACTCCAACCCTGCCCAGCACTGAGGAGAAAGACGAAGACGAGGCGGCGGCCGAATCGAATTCGAGCATCCGACCACCAGCACCGCCGGCTAAGCGCCCGTCGATCGACGACGCCACCAAGCAGAAGATCAAAGCTGGTGTGCTGGACGACCTCCGCGTTGTGCTCAACAAGCTGCCCAAGATCCACCTCGCCTGCCTCGATTTGCTCTTCTCGCACCTGCACAAGCTGGTCACCACCACCGAGGCGGTTGAGTCGGTTGGCGTCTACACCAACAAGCTTGGCCTCGCGCTCGGCCGGGCGCTGCTGCGACCGGCGCACGAATCCGCCTACACCGTCACCTCGCAGATCGGCACGCTGGTCGTCATCGACCTCGTCCAGCACTACGAGGACATCTTTCCCGATCTCGTCGCCAAGAAGCGCGACGAGGCGGCTGCGCAGGTGTCGACCAGTCCGAGCAACGGCTGGGCGCAGGGGCAGCGGCCCACACCCATCCGCAAGCGCACCAAGCCGGTCGACCAGCGCATCTCCCGCTCGTCGATCGGGGCTGATCTGCAACAGGGCACAAAGATGCTGGTCGAGCAGATGGAGAGGGAACGCAGCTCACGGGGTGGATCCGAGCCTCCTGTGCCTGAAAAGACGCCGCCTACGCCACCGCCCGCCATTGTCACCGCTACGGATACGGCGATGGAAAAGCAGCAGGACAACGCGGCAGCACCCACACCGCTTGCCGACCGCGTGCTCACCTCGTCCGCCGATAGCGCTGCAGGGCGCGAGGCCGAGACCGTGTCGATTGCCAGCGAGACCGCAGAGCACGCCGAGCAGCAGGAAGAGGAGAAACCGCTTTCGAACGTCGCAAGGCTGTCGAGGCAGTTTAATAGTGCGAATCTGGGTCCTGCAGCCAAGAGGACAGGAGGCGTGGTGAGAGGCCCGAGACCGGCCGGAGCGAGGGCTGCGAGGATGTCGACCCAGAGCAGCGTCGCTTCGGAGACCGCGTCGACGGGCGAGGAAGCACAATGAAGTACATCTCTCATCTGCAATAGTTCAACGACGTTTCACAGCAATGTACTCCAGACCCTCACACTCACACATGGCATGACGAACTGAACCAAAGCACACACATCGCACCACTGAACTTGAAAACAAAAGCTGGCATTTCCCTAAACGACGTGCGGAGCGGTCCAGCTGAAGCTCTGGAACTCAGCCTGATCCTGGGCGCTGAGCACGCTATGCACCGGCGTCAGGGTGGGCTTTTCGCTAGTAAACTCGGTATCGAACCAGCTGGTGTCGCTGGGGTTTTTGAGTGTGGGGCAGAAAGGTGGGGGTACTCGTTTGTTGAACATGTCGTCCCAGTTGACATCCCTGAAAAAGGGATGGGCTTTGATCTCCTCTGCGTCCTTGGGGCCTGAACCCAAACGACGGGCAGGATCGCGCGTGAGAAGCTTTTCCAGAATCGACACTGAATCCGCTGGCATGTGCAACGGGTACAGCGGTTCATCTTCGAGAATCGCATCAAAGATCTCGTCCTCGTCGTCACCACGGAAGGGGGCTTGGCCGAGCAGCATCTCGTAAATCAAGATGCCGAAGGCCCACCAGTCCACCGCTCGCCCATAGCGCTGCTCCAACAGGATTTCTGGCGCCATAAATTCCGGCGTGCCACAAAATGTACTCGTCGTGTTGCCATACCACATGTCCTCCTTGCACAACCCGTAGTCGGCCACCTTGATATGCCCGTCCAACGTCAGCATGATGTTGTCCAGCTTGAGATCGCGATAGATGATCCCCTGCTTATGAAAGTATTCCAACGCCAAGAGCACCTCGGCCGCATAGAACTTGGCGCGGCGCGGCGTAAACGGCTCGCGCTGAATATGAAGCATCAGATCACCACCCGAAATGTACTCCATCACAAAGTACACGCGCGTCGTAGTCTGGAAGCACGAGTGCAATCCGAGCAGGAAAGGATGTCGTTCCCGCGCCGCGGCGAGGAACACCCGCTTCTCCGACTTGGTCGATTCCACCTCGTCGTTTTCGATGATGAACTCCTTCTTGAGCACCTTGATCGCGTAGAGGTGGCCCGAACGCTTTTCTTCGGCAAGCATGACTTTGCCAAAGTTGCCCTTGCCGAGCACGGCGAGGAAGTTGAAGTCGTCCAGGCCGATCTTGCGGCGCGAAGAGGGGAGCATACGAGGAGGCTGCTGAGAGCCGCCAGAGGGGACCATGGCGCCAGGGCCGACGGGTGGCTGCTGCTGGTGGAGGGAAGCAGGTGGTCCCTGCGAAGGTGGCTGCGGCTGCGACGGTGGGGGCGGCATCTGTGGCTGCTGCTGTTGAGGTCGAGGCACGACGTTGAGGACAGACTGCGTCTGCTGCATCGGGTGCACCGGTGGCTGCTGCTGAGAGTACGAAGAGGGAGGCTGAGGACGGGCGCCGAACAAGCCACCTTGCTGCTGCGCTTGTTGCGACGGCGGCTGCTGCTGCTGCTGCATCGGCGGGCTGGCATTCGATGATGGCTGGGGCAGTGGTCGAGGAGGTCGCGACATGTCTCCCATTCGGCCATCTGAAGACGACGGCGGCATGACTTCGCCCACTCTGGGCGGCTGGGGACGGCCGCCAAAGTTGGGTCCTGCTCCGAGTCGCTGCGGCTGTGAATCGACAGACTGCATCCTCTGGGACGAGCCGGAACCGTACGGCGGCTCGCCTGCACCTGGCTGGATGGACATCTGCTGCGTCTGCTTCTCGAGACTGGCGAAGCGACCATCCGGGCCCGTGCCTGCAAGCGGTCCCAGCTGGGGAGGCGGGACACGTCCGGGTGGGGCACCTGCCATGCCATTGCCTCCAGCGTTGGGGTGGAACGCGGTCTGCGAGGCTGGTGGCGGTGGCAATTGCTGCTGCTGCTGTTGCTGCTGCGTCTTGGCCGACGACTTGACCCGGTTGATGGTCTCAATGTCGCTGAGGAGCTGGTTGGCCATCTCCATCGACATACCACAAAAGTCGGGCACCAAGTGAGCGCAATCCGTGTGACAGGTGATGTCGCACTCGGTACACCTCCGCGCGTTCTTGCGTCCGAGCGGCAAGATCGAACCGCAGTGGCAACACCAGTTGGCGCTGAGGTTGGTGATGGGCTCGAATCGATGCGGGATGCGGTGGTTGATCTTGACCTCGTCCCGATCGGCTTCGGCGTTGCTCTTCGAGATGCACTTGGTGACGACCTTTTGCGCGCACTTCTTGTGGCAGGCATAGCGGCAGTCTTCGCACTGGCTTCCTGCAGCGTTGAGCAAGAACTCACCGCAGAGAGCGCAACGAAGCACCTGGTAGAACTGGCGCGAGACAAATTTGTGGCCGTTGATCTCGGCGACGTCCTCCTTGCGCTTTCGGAAAGCGCCCTGTCGTCCGAGACGAGCGTCGTAGGGGCGCTTGCGCACATTCTGCTTGATAAAGTTGAGGCGAAGGTAGATGGCTCCCGCAGGCTCGACTGCAAACCAGGCTTCGACCCCGTCGCTGGGACCGTTGGGCAGGGGAATGCCAGCGGGCGTGTTGTAGGCACCATCGACGCCGCCAGGGCCAGCGGTGGCAGCGTACGGGCCACCACTGGCTCTAGGCTGGACGCTGTCCGCCGTGACCCAGCCGTCGCTGGGGCCATGACCGTGCTGCGAGGCGTCCGGCACCTGGCCAAACTTCTTCTTACGTTGCTCCTCGACAATGTCGCTGATGCGGATCCACAGCATGCCAACCGGGACGGGATGGGCGCTGCCGAGTTTGTCGTACACCGTCACTTCGAGCTCGTTGGCGTTGTCGACAGGAATCTCGAAGTCCTCCTGCCATCGCTCGGTGCGGCTGGGGTGGGTGCGAGCACGGGGCGTGTCTTCGACCTTGATGACGACGGTCGACTCGCGAACGGATCGAGTGCCTCGTGGAACGGGAGCGTGATCGATGTCACGAGCGCTTCGGATCGAGATTTGGAGCGTACCGGAGAGTGGCTTGCGGAGGTTCTGCTTTCGGTTCTCCACCGATTCGGGGCTGGCATTGTCCTCGTCCTCCTCTTCCATGACATGCAACTGCTTGTATCTCTTGAGAGCCTGCTGGAGGAGAACGATCTTGCTCTGGCTCTCGACACGCTTGCTCTCGGCGTCGTTACGACTCTTGCGATCGCCTTCGGCCTGGTAGAGCTTGGCCATCTTGTCGATGCCTTGCTTGTACTGCTTTTCGATCTGCAGCTTGAACTCGAGCTGATGCAGCATGCGCGAGATCTTGGCGGTGGTGTGCGGGGTGTCGTCCTTGATCAAGTCGAGGTTGGTGTAGTTGCGTTTTGCGCTGGTGCCCATGCGCTGCACGGCGGGTTGCCACGTCTCGGGTCCACCACCCGGTCCGTAGCCGGCGCCGGCGCCGTAGGGGCCCTGGTTGGCGTACTGAGCATAGGAGCTTTCAGCTCCGCCTGTCCCCCCACCCTGTCCGCCATTGATCGGTGCCGGCGGTTGCGAACGGCCGTCATATCGGCGAGCATTGACGGCGGGCGAGGGCGGGTTGGAGCCGACGTAAGAGCTGCTGCTGTCTCCTGGATAGGGGCGACCAGCGCTGGCCGAGCTGCCGACGCTGGTCATCGAGGAGGCGAAGCTCTGTCTCGGGTCGCTCGGAGTGGTACTGCCGCCGGTGGAGCTGTCGGTGCGGAAGCCGGGGCCACCGCTAGCGCGACGCGATTTGAGACTGTTGAGAGACTCTTGGAGATAGGAAATGTTTCGCTGCGCTTCTCGAATCTGGGATTCTGCTTGGCGGATGACGTCGGGGTTGCTCGTGGCAGCTCGGAGGGCCTGATTGCCCTCCATGATGCGACGCTGGGTCTGGATACGAGCATAGACCTCGGCCACCTTGGAATCGCTTGGGTCCTGTGCGGGCGGAGTCAACGGGGGAATGGTCAGTCGAGGGTCTTCGATCGTGGCAGGCCGCGATGGGGACGCTTCAAGGTCCTCTTGGGTAGGCAATAGGACATCAGAACTTACAGCCATGGTGAAAGGGAGGTGTTGCTTTGGTCGAAACAGCCCTCAATGATAGGATGAAAACGTTCGTGCGCGAGTCGTCACCAAGCGTACAGGCCGGCGCAGCGGGTCGTGAAGAGCGTGAGGAGAAGGTATCGGTGGACGAGATCTGTCTGTGTAGGTGCTTCTATGCTGATTGTACGGCAACGAGTTGCGCGTCGCTGTAACGTAAGCCGCTTCGTCGGACAGCTGAATTGCGGGAGCCGAGTGCAAAGAGGTTGTTGCAGACACTGGTGTCGCGTGAGACCGAAACCGTTCAAGCGGTTTTGGTGTGTTCGAGGTCGATCCTTGGGGTCGAATCTAGCGTTTCTGTTGTGATGCTGCTGGAAGAGCGACCAAAGTGCTGTGAGTGGACAGAAGAGGAGGACAATGTGGAAGAGGAGGAGGAAAGGATGACGACGACGCCTGAGCGAGCAGACTGAGCGGAGCGGAAGGAAGCGGGCAGGCAGGCAGGCGGTGAGTGAGACAGGCCTGCCACAGAGCAGCAGCCGCCAAAGCGCAGTTGACGGAAAAACAGGAGCACCAGCCAGCCATCTATCTGAATTTGCTGCGTAGCCCCTGGCTGGCTGGCTGGCTGGTTGGCTGGCAGGCTGGCCTCTCGCTCGCGGCCTGCGGAGGGAGACATGATGAAAGCGCCATCCCAACGCGACTTAAAATCAACATTTCCAAAAAATGAATTCAAAATCAGAGAGAGAGAGACACACAGACGCGCTCTGGCTTGGAAACCAACACGCTGCAGGGCGCCGCAGAAAGCGGTGCTCGAGGCCCGAGCAAATACGATCGTGTGCAGCGCATTTTGGCCAACAGCTTGCTGCTTGCTCTCTTGTGTCCTCCCGTGGACGAGGGGCCATCGTCGTGCGTCTTCAAGCCACACCACCATGTCATTGCAGCCTCCCGATGGATCCGAGAGCGCCAAAGCAGAGCTCATCCGAGGGTGGAGTCGATGGCTGCCTCCGGTGCGATCTGCGTGTTGGTGTCAGATCTTGAGGGCTTGGCTGGGCAGCTTGTAGTCACACGCCATTTTTGCCCTTCCAGAATACAACAAGGACCCTTCTAGATCTCTACGCAGCTGAAGCTCATCGTTGTCGGTCTCCTGCCTGGTTTGATGATAGCAATGGAAGAAGAGGATTGCAAATGGTGAAAGGTACAAGTACACGTTGAGTGCAACGAGGCGATCTCAACCCACCCGTCAACAGCACGACTGGGCGGGGGAGATCTGGTATCTAGATGTAGGGAAAGGGGATGCCAACCATGGCCAGACGAAGCCGATGACTCCGCTGAGCTTCCGAGTTGGCATGCACTGATTGCTTGGCAGGAGCAGGTCAGTACTGGTGAGGGATGGTGTGTCAACGACGAGACGAGGTGCTGTTGAAGGTCTCGCTGTCGTGACGACCAAGTTTCTTTTGGGTTGTAGACCAAGGAGTGGTCTAGGATCCACGAGGTGAGCTTGCATCGGAGCTCGATGAAAAGCTCCTATGAACAAGCTCGAGGGCGAAGGGGCTCAAGCCTTGGGCTTGGACGGCGTTCTTCTGCTTCGGTTGCGGGTGCCCGAGGCAGGACCTTCGCTGTCAAGCAGAGCCTGCTTGTCGGCCTCCTCCCTCTTTTTCTTCTCGGCCTGCCTGTAAATGTTAGCCGTGAAGGGCTCCTCGTAGCGCAACGCCAGTGAGTAGACGATCACCACGAGGACGCTCAGAAGCAATCCGGCGGGCTTGCCGAACCACAGAGCCACGGCGACAAAGCTCATGGAGCTTCCCCAGTACATGGGGTTGGCCATGACGTTGAAGGGGAAGCCGGTCACGATGCTCTCCATCAGGATGCCAAAGTAGTCACCCAAGTAGGTGCCCGTGACGCCGAGAGCCCACATGGACGAGAGGACAAAGACGTTGCCGGAGGCAAAAAGCACTGCAGCGGCGGGCTTGACCCATGCCTGCTGCAGCAGTGCGTGGGTGGGCTGGTCCTTGAGTGCGAGGTTGTACAGGTGATCGCGGAGGATGCCGAGCGAGAAGATCGAGATGGCCAGGAAGTAGCATCCCAGGTATCGACGACCGCCGAGGATCTTGGTGATGGTCTTGTTGTGGTACTCGTTCTGCGCCACGATGTTCCAGTAGAGCGGATTGAAGCAGATGCTGCCGACGGCGATCCAAAGCGAAGGTTGCGTCAAATCAATGACGCCTGGCACCACGTATGGGCTCGACTTTTGGAACAGCGCTACCATCTTGCCAATCCGATCGAGATCCCGTCCTTGAGAGCGGTCCGGATTTTGACGCTGAGGTTGTGAAAGAAAGGCAGGAACGCAGAACCACAACAACTGAGAAGAATCGCAAGGCACAGGTCCGAGCGCATTCACGATTTCTCGCGGAGACGCACGGAGCAGAATCACAGCACAAGACCCTTGCTCATCTCGACTAGTCACGCGTTGACGTGACTCTACTTGAGACAGATCCTTTTTTGTCGGCGCAAGCGAAAAACGTCCAGCTGCGCTGACTGGGTGGGCTTCGGCTCGTTCCGGTTTGGCGTGGGAAAGAACGCTCGTCCTTCGGATGACCATCGGATGCTACGCCCCTCTTCCCAGCTTCTGCCTTCGTCAGCTAGGCCACGATTTCCTGCTCGAAACGAGCCTGACTGAGCTGCTCCAGATTCGCTGAGTCAAGCCGCTTTGCTAAAGCTGTTTATAAAGGCTGAATCGACCAGTGCTTTGGAATCCGTCTGCGATCTGCTCACATCAAAGATGAGCTCAACCGAAACCCCAGCGTCAAGCCTGAGCAGTGCGGCCTTGCAGACCTCCTTCACGGTCAGTAGCGACGCCGGCGTTGATCTCAAGGTGTCGACCAAATTGATGCATCCAAGATCTGGCCAAACGACCTCTATCGAACTGGCAGATTCTCTCTCGACTCCGCCGAGAGCCGCTGGCTGTCATTTCGTCGTGACCGGCACCGCGTCCTCGTCCGAAAGCTCGGAGCATCTCCTAGATGACCGCTGTATCTGGGCCATTGCTCAATCTATGCTAGAGGACATCAACTCGGTAAGCTGCGGAAGGCTGGTTGAGGTCCATCAAGTCCCATGCTGATGGTCAAAGTTCTTCAGCTTCGCGACGGCTGGCTCCACATCTCCGCACTTCATGCGAGGTCATCTGCGTATGTCGAGACGGAGGGAGATGCAAGCACGAGCAATGCCGGTTCTGCTCATCTTGAGGCGATTCGACATTGTATGTTAGCAACCCTAGTTCCGTCCGTCTATTTGTCGATACCTGTGCTAACGCTCTTGCGTCTTGGACGCTGATTTCAGCCATCGTGGTGATGTTGGCTCCAGCGAGCATCCCTGACAGAGGCACGGTCAACAGACGCTGGCAAGTCGACTTGGACTGGACCGACTCGCGCGTCGAGCGAACCAGAGCTCTCGCGGATCTCTTATCTTCTCCGACTTTGCCGTCCCAGCTGCGAGATCTCGTGAGCCAGATGACGTCGCGTCTTCTGCTTGAAACCCTGCTTGCGGATCCCGAGATTGCAGAGCTATACCACCGTTCCTGGCAGCAGCGCCAACAGGACGTCTCTCCGTTGATCGACAGTATCGCCAACTCTATGCGTTCTCTCGCTGCAAATGCGACCAAGAGCGTGGAGCTCGATGCCTTGCTGCATCAACTTGAGCCGACAAAGGAGATTCCCAGCGTCATAACGGTCAGTAACATCCTGACCCGCATGGATATTGCTGCTCATCCGCCTACGAGAGAACGACGGTCACCTGCGAGAGCGCGGCGCAAGCGCTCCGATCAAAGCGATCCCACGGAGGACGCGATCGTCGGACTGGCGCCGGGTGCGAGCGACAGCGACTACAGCTGGATAGACACAGAGGCAGAGCCGTCGACAGTTGACGTCCGAGGAGAACACAATCTCGACAATGTCCCTTCGTCGCCCTTCGCGCCCGAAGCGGGCTATCACGAGGAAGCAGAGGAGACGAATGCAAGCTTTGAAGATCCGTTCAGCTTCTAAGTGGCTGTCTCCAAGCTGTGCACAGCCTTACGCATGACAACAGGAGCTGCATGGGTGTTATTACAATCGATCACGACGCCCACGTTGACCTTCGGCCTCCATTGCGCTTATGACAGCCGCACGAAGCAGCATACCACCAGAGATGGCAGCCCGCACGGTGCAATCTTCATCTCAAAGATGCCACGTGCGGGGATGACCGTGCGGCTGCCATCCGCAGACAATTGAACAATTTCGGCGTTCCAGTAGAGGGGAGCCGTCTTACCAACGCTCGGAATGTAGGTCCCATCCTCCGCTTGGGTGCCGCCGACGGCGAGCTCGTACAGCCGGAAGAACATCGAGGCCGAAGCTTCCGTCATGAGCTCGTACACCGAAATCTTTCCGCCCGTCATCTGCTCTCTGCTCCGGCCGCACAGTTCTTGCGCCAGCTGGTTCGAGGCGTAAACTTCGCCCGCCTTGCGGCACACGACCATAGGGACGGGCGTGAAGGGAATCACCGATTCGGAATAGTAGCGGACATTGCCCGCCCATTCTGCCTGCAGCTGGATCATGCTCGATGGCTGGATGTTATCCTCGAGCGAGAACCACAGCTGCCGAATTTTGGACAGCGCCGCCTCGACCGATCGTATCGACTGTTCCGACCAATCCTGCTCGGTCATGTAGCGCATCAGAGATGCGTAGCCTTTTCGATATGGATAGGGCGCGTACACATCGCCAGGCCTCTGCCGTAGCTGCGATTCCTTACCCTCCGACATTTCTGGAGGATGGTTCGTCTGCTGCCTCGGTATCCCGTCCATCGTCCGAATTTGCATATGCGGAGGTGTTGCGTGCTGCGTGGCTGGATTGGCACCGCCGCTCTGCGTTGCCATCGCCAAGGGATGGCTGACGCCTGTGGATCTTGTCGGTCGTGGCTGTTGCTGCTGCTGCAGCATCGGGGCCGGATGCGCCTGCTGGAAACCGTCTGAACTTGGACCGATGGGCACAGCGCTTCCGACTCGGATGCCGTGTGCGGTGTGCAAATCAGCACGAGGCATTCCGTCAAAGGCGCGTCCGTCTGGTGGGAGATGCCCTTGCTGCTGCGAGAAGGGCAATGGCGGGTGACCAGATGGATGGGATGGGGGCGGTCCCTGGGGATGGGCGCCATTGGGACGAGGATGGAAGGCATCCGCGACATCGAAAAAGTACGTCGAGAAGAGCGAGTCGAGCTCGGCTGAAGAGGGCGGCTGGAAGATGGGCTGGACCTGAAGAAGCTGTGACGGCGAGGTCCTCGCTGCTGTTGCTGAATTTGCTCGGATGGGCGTTGACGACGGTATGGAGGTGTACGAAGGCGCGCTTTGCCCCGGCATACCCTCCAGCGTCGACCCTTCCGTCCTTGCACGCACATTCGGATGCGGAGGTCCTTGTGCGTACGTCGTCTCTGCAGTCGCATATTCTACTGCGCCCTGGGGTGGCTTGTAGTCGGGCTGCGTGTCCTCTTGGTTGAACAGCTGGTTCTGGCCTTTCGATATTCGGGCAGCATCCGATCTCGTCTTTCTCTTCCTCTGCTGGCCGCGTTCTGCTTCGCTTGGCTCCCCAGGCGCGGACAGTGATGACGCCATGCCAGTACTGCGACCAGCAGCAGAGACGGAAGAGGGATGCTGCGGCGGCGGCGAGACAAAAGCTTCCTTCGACGAACTCGCTACGGAGCCTGTCTCGACTGCGTTCGACCAGCCATTGTCCTGCGACGCCTGCCCGTCTTGAGGCGGATCGACGCAGCGATCTGCAATGCCTCGCTTGACGCAACGGTGGCAAGGCCGCTTCTCTTCGCAGACGAGGTGCGACCGTCGGCAGTAGACACAAGCTTGCCTGAGCTTTTTCTTCCTGCGGGGCAGGAGGCCAAAGGGACTGATCGACCCATCGCTGACGTCTCCTGCATTCGTCGATCCGTTCGACGCCCCGTTGCCGTTGTCGAAGATCTGTTGGGCGCTCTGACTAGCGGTAAGAGGCTGCGATCCGAGGTCGGAGGAAGCTTTGCTGTCAGGAGACGGTACGAAATCGTCGAGCAAGTAGTTGGGCAGAACCTTTCGGTTTCCGCGAAGAGCGTCCATCGATGCGAGAGGGCGACCCCATCACCCGAGGGTCGGCCCCCACTGCGATGCTACGATACAATCTTTGTCGTTGGCGACGTGCCAGCAAAGATAGCTCGAGCGCTCCTTGCAGCCTAAGGGTGCCACAAGAACGCGGATGCGGCGCGCCTTCCGTCGATCGATCGAAACGAAATGGCTGGTGTTCGCAGGGAGCAAACTCGACGACGAAGAAAAGGGGCGTCCGAAGTGTAGCGCTGGCGAATGGAAGAGGCGGTGATGGTTGCACCACTCGAACGTCTGACACGAACGAGGGAGGAGGCAAGAAGCAATCCTTTGTCTCGGATCCCGGACTACTTGATGGGCAGCTGAAAGAGGCGAGAAGGCAAAATTTAGAGCGGGATGACGAGACGCGAGCCGAGTCTTTGGTGCCGACCACGAGCAAGGAGCCGAAAATCCTCTGCCGAGCGAGTCGGTGGCATCAACAACGAGATGCCAAGCAGGAGACGAGAAGGGGCAACTTGGGGGAAAGAGAGAGAGAGAGAGAGAGAGAGAGAGAGAGAGAGAGAGAGAGAGAGAGAGAGAGGAGACGGTACCGTGGTCGGACTCAATGGAAGTTGGCAAGGGCAGCAGCAGAAGCAACCAAGCTTCGGCTTTTGCACGCGACTCTCGTGGGCCTATCAGATCAGCCGCTCCCGGCCTCTGCTTTCCTCCTCGTCCAACCGCCGCGGTCTTCGTCGAAGTCCTAGCGCATGCGCACGCCATGATGAAGTCTCCCATTGTGGCAGCACTTGGCACTGGCAACGCAGAGCAACGACCCACCTCTGTGCATTTCTTGGCCCTTGGCCGGCGACGAGCCCGTGCGGTAGATCTTGCACAATGGTCGGAGTTCGAACTTGTTCGCAGCACATGTCCCACCGACAGGAGATTCTCGTCCGACGCCTCTTTACCCCACACCTAATCTGCATTGTCGCCCGCCCGAACGCAACGCTCGCTCGAAGCGCCGAACCCTCCATCTCACTGATGCATGGAACTAGCTCTTACTCAAGCTATGCCACTAGCTTAAGCTCGAGGATAGCAAGATCGAAAGCGGACCGCTTTTGCCGACCCATCGCTAGATTACGCTCTGACGTCGACGAAGACCAGCTCGGTCGGCGTCTTGAATTTCCCAGAGCCGAGGATGCCTAAAAAGCATGGGAACAGACAGCCGTTCAGGCAAGCTGCAGGGTTGCCCAGGAGTTTCAAGGGTCCAGGTGCCCGGCGACCTGCCTTCGGGATCGGCGTCGGGAAGGTCATGTCCTTGCCAAAAACTTGATACGAAGCTCGCTTGACAGCCTGTTGCACCACTGACTTCATTTGAGTTTGCTGCATACGCGTTTCCGCTTCGCTTGCAGGACACGGCTCTGCATAAAGTTTTCGTATCTGCAGATCCATCCTGCCGAGCTCTCAGGTCGGCGAGAGCAGCCGACGCTGCATGGCAGGCCAAAAATGTGGCAAGGTCCGGACCGGTGGTGGACCGTGTCGACGATGGCTTTCCTGGCCGTCGTTCCTCTCCCATCCATCGACGCTCGACCCGGCTTTTCATGTCTCTCACTCAGTGACACCGAAGGACACGCTCGGAATCCAGTCGATATGCAGTAAACATCTGATTGATCGAAGAAGTACGACCGAGTAGACGGATTGAATTGCTTGATGCCCGAGCTCACCTGCCCGTCTTCTGCCTCTTGGCCGCCGTCTGCGCCTTCATGCCCTGAATGCGGTAGATCTCCTTCATCTCGGCCTTCCTCTTCTGCGCGCGATGCTCCTCGTCCTTCATCGCCAACTTGAGCTTCTCGCCCTTCTTCTCGTTGTTCTTGGCCTTGCGCTTCTCGTCCTTTTCGCGCTGCACCGTCTTCATCTGCTGGAGCAGCGCGAGCGCCTTCTTCTCCTCGCCCTCGAGCACTACGGCGCGCTTGGCGAGGTACGACGTCGACTTGGCCGCCTGCATCTGTTTGGGTTTCGACTTGAACGGCAGCTCGGCTTGCAGCGCACGGGGGACGCGGAGCGGGTTGAACTTGCGCTCAGTTCGCTCGATGCTGCGGTAGCTCGAGTTGATGTGTTTCGGCGCTTTGAGCTGACGTTCTTTGCGCACCGCACCTGTCAGTCGCATTCCCTGCCACGTCCTTGCCTCTCCGGACGAGAGCAGCAGCGACGTGACCGGGTTGTAGAACTTGCGCGGCTGAATCGAGTACCACGCTCGCAGGAACACAATGTCGCTCATCAGAATCTTGTCCTCGAACGTGGCTCGGAAGTGCCCTTCCGGCTTCGCCAGCGCCTTCTTGACCTGCCCACGAATGCCCGACACCGTCTTGATGTGCGCACCTTCGAACTTGGCCACCTCGAGCGCGGACGAGAACATGTCCTTGATGAAGGCCGTGTTCTTATAGATCTTGCTCGGCGTACCGGTGAGCTTGAGCTTCTTGACAATCTTTTGCGAGCCCGAGTCGACGTCGAGCACCACGCCGGTCGCCGAGACGCGGAACGAGGGCGTCGCAGTCGAAAGCGTGTTGAAGGCGCAGAAACCTGTGTTGGGTGCCGAGACGGGACCATAGAACGACGCCAGACAGTGCATGTGCTCCGGCGTGTACTTGAGCATGCGATTGCGCGTGCCGTCGTCGAGCGAGTAGATGGGGATGGATTGGAATCGACGCCACCCGAGCGAGAAGATGAGCGGGTCGTTGGTCTTGAGGATCTTCTGGTGCCATCGGTGACGCTTGATGCGGACCTGGATGAAGCCGAACGACTCTTCGCTGGCGAGCAGACCGCCGACGAGGAGTGGAAAGTTGGGGTCGAAGTTCTCGACCAGTTCGTAAGCTACCTTGCTCAGCTCGATTCGGACATAGGCACCAGGCTGGTAGCCGACGACTTGGTGGCGGACCTCTTCGTCGACCGAGTCGAACTCGGCCTTGTTGAGCGCCGCCTGCGCGGCCAAGGCATCCTTCTGCTCGTCATACCAGTCCTGCTTGGTGTCAGCGTCTGGGTCGTCGTACTGCTCGTCGAATCGGCGTTTGAGCGCCTCCTTCTTGGCGGCGAGGGCTTTGGCGCGTGCATCCTCGTCGGCGTCATCCTCGCCCCCATCGGCGGGCTGATCGTCGGCCTCTTCATCATCGTCCTTCTCTGCATCGTCGACAGGCTCACCGCGCTTGCCATCCTTGCGCTCTTCCAGGTTGTCAGGCTCGTCGCCGGTGATGAAGAAGCGTCGGATCGAGTCGAGGACCCGCTCTTCTGCCCAGTAACTCAAATCTGCTGCCTTGGCGAGAGAACGCGACTGGTCCGGCACGTCTTGGTACTCCTCCTCGTGCTCGCCGGTCTTGGAGGTCGCAGGCTTGCCGTCCGCGGGTCGGAAGAAGTCGTCTCCGTCATCTTGCTCGGCCATCTTGCGGATGTCATCCTCGTCCTCGTCGGCGTCCTTGTTGTGGACGTCGCCGGAGGCAATCTGCTCGGGCGTCTTGTCCGAGCTGTAGATGAGACGAGCGAGGTCGACGGGTCTGCGGTTTCTGTTGGCGCGAACGGTGGCTTCGGCGCGAGCGGCTAGGTCGCGTTTCCAGGGTGCCACTTCGTCCTCTTCCGAGTCTGGGGCCTCGCTGCCCAGCTCCTCTTCATCTTCCTCGTCGTCGTCAATGTCTTCATCGCCGGACTCGAGACCCATGTCAGAATCGCTGTCTGCAAAGGGAATATCTTTCGATGCCGCACCATTCGCCTCGTCCGCCTCGACGGCTTTGCGGGAGAATGCACGACGCTTGTATCCGTCTTCGTCATCGTCAATAGCGTCGCTGTCGAAGCCTCCGTCGCTGTCGCCGTCTTCACCATCGATGTCGTCATTGTCATCGATGTCGTCGTCGAGAAGCACGTCGTCGAATGCAGCTCTTCGCACACGCTTGCCCTTGGCAGGGGAAGCATACTCAAACGCGTCGCTAGCATCCTCCTGCTTGTCCGACGATACGTCGCGCAAACCTGTCGAATCCGAGTCGAACAGCCGGAGTTCGCTCTGGGCTGCGAGGTTGTCCAGCGTGGTATGCGCATCTTGCAGATCCATGACCATCTTTTCGCCCTCGCCTGCCGGTTCGCCGTTCTCGCCGTTGCGCGTGAAGTTGCCGGGCACGTTGATGTACACGGCATCCTTGTCGAACATGACACCGCCGACGTCGCTCATGGGAGCGTGGATGAGCTTGGCCTTGTCGGAGAGCTTTCTGCGCTTCTCGCTGTCCTGCGTGGGCAGCGGGCAGGGGTCGTTGAGCTTCTCTATCGATGTGATGGACAGATCGCCTGCGCCGGGGATGTGGACTCGTTGTGAGGGTCGAAGGTGGGTGCCGCGCAGGAAGCCGTAGACGGTGATGGTGCGATCGGCCTTGGGGTTGGCGCGGATGTCTTCTCTCGGTGTCAGATCCTCCATGCGGTCGGCGAGGACGTAGGGGTGGGCATTGCGGAAGATGAGCGGTCGGAACTTCATCACGCCGATAAACCGCGAGAGGTTCTGGATCTCCGTGTCGGGGTATCGACCATTGATGATGCCGGAAAGGTAGAAGAGCTTGGCGCCGTCGTAGATTTCGGTCCAGAAACGTTGCTTCAAGCGCTTCTTGGTCGCTTTGAGCGTCTTGGCCTTCTTGATGAGGTCCAAGTGCGTAAGCACGCCGATGACCTTAGGGAAACCGTGCGATTGCAAGACGTTGAGAAACTCCATGGTCTCCATCTCGAACCCGAACGATCCATCGATCATCAACAACACCAAGTCCGCCACCTTGCCAATGTCAATCATGCTGTTGATATCGTTGTTGCATTCGATGAATGTGACTCTCCTCTTCTTGCCCGTGACCACCGTGACCGGGCCCTTGATCTCGGCGAGCGTATGCTTGGTATACCTCCGAATGAGGGAGCGCATGAGCGTCGTCTTGCCTACCCCCTCCGGGCCTACAACCGCAACAATGATGGGAGGCGGCTCGTCCTCCGGTGTCCTATCCGCAAGAGGCACATGGAAACGCTTCTGATCTTTCTCGGCATTGCGCAGGATCTGCTTCTGAGCCACATTGATGTTGGCCGAGATGAAAGCCTTGGGGTTGAAGCCATTTGTGTGCTTCGCCTTGCCCTTTTCGGCCTTGCCGCCGGTCTTGGCCTTGCGATGCGCCTTGTTGGACTGCTGTGCGTCCGCCATGATGTCGCGCTGTCGTCAGTGGTAGCGTGGGCGGGGATATGTGGCGTTCGTTGTCTGCTCAGACGCCAGCGTCAAGCGGGTTCGGGTGGCGCTGCTGAGTCCGGGCTGTCTCGGTGTCGGACGAGGGCCGAGTGAAGCGCTGGCGTTGGTCGGGAGCGTAATGGTCGTCCAGAGCAGTAGTTGGCTGTCAAGGCTTGGCTCAAGTAGATGGTGCCTGCAAAGGCGTGGTAATGACTGCTGCTTGGCATTGAAGTGAGCTGCTGAGCCTTTCTCAAGGAGGTTTCGACGTTCGAGGAAAGGGTCCAAAATTTGCTGCTTCGACTCAAAAAAAGTTTCCAGCTTCGCAGCTCCACAGTCTGTATTATGTAAGCAGATGTGCGGTAAAAAGTGCAAAAAAG